TTTTGGGAGGGGGGTGTCACGGAAAAGCCTTTCAGAAAGAGAAAGGCAGAAGTGCCCCAAGATACACACTGACGGCTCCCACTGGAGACCCTTCATCGGGAAGCACCCAAAGACCCTCCCTCCAACTACAGACTGCTCAACACACGGAGCGGGGGGGGGGGGGGAGGTTTGCAAAGGATTCCCAGACCAGAAAGTGATGTTCCCACCAGCCAATAAAGAAATGAAATCTTTTTTAGGAAATGAAACCATAGACTTCCCTCCTCCATCTCTGCCCCCAAACTCTTTCCCCCCCCCCCCCCCCCTTATCCAAACCTTCATCTATGGCCACCTCTGCATATCTGCTACAGCTCAGCCTTCTGCAACCTGGTGCTCTCCAGATGTGTTGGCCCACTACTCCCATAATCCCCTATTCAGCCACAGAGACTGGAAAAGCTGGATGGGGTCCTCATTCACAGATACAGTCTCTCCCCCCCCCCCCATTTACTTTTTCTTGCATCATTTCGGGAGGTGCAAAAGAGGGACCAGGTGTGGAATTTCCTTCTCCTTTTCATGCAGCCTCCATACTGTTCCAAATTCTCTCCTTCCCTCACGCCATCCACACTGTCTCGCACTCCATCCACACACCCTTTCTACCCCCATCTAACCTGTCACCATATCTGTCTTCTTTTCTTTTCGACAACTCATTTCTCCTCTCTGCATTTTAATTCAATGTTTCACTTTTTTTTGCGTTGGGAAAAAAAAACACCACCACCCACCCTAAGCCCAAGGGATATGGCAGGATTGCTCAAAAATGCATAATTCTTTGCTCCCTCTTTTTTCTCCTCCGCTTTTCCCGAGGTACCTGGAGACACTCCTTAAGGTGCATGTGTTCCTTTAGACCCTAGACAATATAATAAAGTATTGCGGTTCAGCAGCCTTCGCTCCCCGCCCGCCGCCCGCCCGCCCCACTGCCCCTGTGTTATCTACGGGGGATCTGGTCATCCATTTGGGGATCCATTTCCCCGATCGGGGCGCTCCCGCCTCTCCGAGGGTGTCGAGCTCACGTCCAAGCGTGCCGTCGCCGCGATGTGGGCTCCAGCCCTTCCCCGGTCTATCTAATCTAATCTGTGTGTTGCAAATCAGATCTCCGCACCCTCCGCCTCCCTCCCTGCCTCTATTGTCTCCACCTCCATGCCTGCAACCCCCCCCGCCCGCCTCGCGCGCGCTCTCCCGCGCTCTCGCCGCTCCCGCTCGAAGTCCGTGGGATCCCCCGGCCGGCCGTCGCCCCTCCGCTGCGCCACCCCCCCCCCCGGTACCTGTTGACAGGAGCAGCGCGCAGGTAGGACAGGGCAGGGGTCCCGCGCAGGCGGGCCGGCGTGCGGGGGGCAGGCGGGCGGGGGCGCACTCTGGGGCGACGGGCAAGAGGGGAAGACAGTTGTGGGAAGCAAGTTGTGGGGAGAGAGGGGGGCGAGGCGGGGGGCGCGCCATTTGGCAGAGTTTCCAAAGAAGGGGGGAGTTGGAGGAGTTGCTGGCGGGGGCTTGTTTTGGGGGACGCTGTGGGAAGGCGGGGGCAATTTGGGGGGAGATGGCTGGTAGGGTGGAGGCAGTTGCTGGAATGTGGGGCTGATTGGAGGAAGGATGGGGTCAATCGCAAGGAAAGGGGGCGACTCGGGGGGGCTCTTGGGAGTGGGGGTCAGGGAGTCTCTACGGAAGAGTAAACTGTCAATGATGCCAAAGGTGGTGTGATTCTGTTTCCCAAAGGTGCGGTGTCGAGGGAGGAAAACTGCGGGGGAGAGCAAGCGGGGGTTAGGGAATTACAGGGAACTGTACGACTTCGTGTGCCTTTTTTTTTCCTGTGGGGGCTCTATGCTGAATTGGGAAAGGGGCAATGTCTAAGATCAGGGGCAATTCCGGGAATGGGTGGAATTGATTGAGAATTGATTGGTTGAAGAAACATTTAAAAAACACACACCTTCACACAGACATCTTTCAAAAAGAAGAAAGGAAAGAAAGAGAAATGACAACTCAATTTAGCAAATTCATTCTATTAATATTGGTTAATAATACAATACAAATTAATTAAAAACAACCCTCTCAGGAATGCCGGTCTCTAAGCAAGCAGTCACATCAACATGCCGTAAAGCTTTTAGCAATGAAATACCTTATTCAAACTATAATTGTAATTGTCTCGCCATCATCACCACCACCCAAAACAAAAAATACCAGCAGTCAATGAATTTTACATATCTTGCTGGGGTTTTTGGAGTTGGGGACCATCAAAATTTCATTACAGCATCACATCCATTTGTTAATGCTTCACTGAATGCCAGTTTTGCTACTAATAACTGAAACATGTTGCTATAAGTCATTCACAGTGCGGTCATATGCATGCTTACTCAGAAGTAAGCCCAAAGACTTCAATGGGACTTACTTCCAGGTAAGTTTGTGTTGCAGCCTTACAGTGCATTAAGCACCTCTCATCAGTCCAGCTCTTATGTGCCGCAAGAATAAAAGGACCTGCCACCAATTTTGCTCACTGCACCACATCCAGTAACTTTGGACTGACAACAAATCAACAGAAAACACATTTTAAAAAGATGGACAGAAGGAGACATTTCCTTTATTAAGCTGTCACTAAAAGTTCCAAAGCAGTGAGAGATGAAGGAAAATTCCCCCTTAAACATTGAATGGTTTGATTTTAATTTTGTTTAACAGAAAGTTTCCCTACTTCAGTGAATAAGGAAACAGTCAGAAAATGGTAACCAGGTTGAATCTTTCTGTGCCTCAGAGTTGACTCACACTGCATATCATGATCGGCAGAGATGTGTGAAGGGAAGATGTGTGTCTGTGAAGACGCACCGGACTCAGGAATCTGCACAGCAAGATAACCTGATAAACAAGTCACAGAAACCCCTTTCCTGGGAGAAAAAGCAAAAAATCCGGGGCTTTGTTATAGGGAAAAAAGATGACTAAGAAGGGGCCACGACACAGGTTGGTATATTTACACACAGTGGGGAGAAAGTTGATATTAAGAATGCTTTTCTTCCTCTCCCATAACACATAAGAGCCATCAGAAGATAATTAGGGGTTATTCAATGAAACTGATGGCTTGTAGATTGAGGCACCTTCGTTTAAAAGTACCTTCTTAATGCAGGATGAGTATAATTATGGGATTTGCGAACACTGCATTTAGTGGTGGCCATGGGTGTAGGTCGCTTTAAAAGAGATTTAGATAATTTTATTAGGTTTGTCATTCCCGTCAACCATGAACTCAGCTAGTGAGTTCTGATAAGGTTAGAGCCAAAATAGGGCCAGTGAGAAGGAGAAGAGGCCTCAGTCTGCCTTGGAGAAACCCAGGCTGCCTAGGTACCATACCAAGAAAAAGAGAAAGAAAAGCCCTTGCATCGATAAACAACCAAGTCTAAGGTGGCAACACACCTGAAGAATAGCTCAGTGAGAATGGAGCAGCTCGACAGCCATGGGAACTTAAGCCTCACCTTGGGGTGAAAACCCCAGGCAGTTGCATGGGATGAAAGATGCTGGAGGAGGGTTCGTCTGGATGGGATCTGAAGAGGGGCTCCGGCTCAGGAGAAGGTGTTGGCATACAGAGGATCCAAGTTGAATCCCTGGCATTTTCAGGTACAGTAAGGAGACAAATCCTGGAGAACTGCTGCCAGTCAGGGTCAGCATACAAGGCTAGCTGGACACATGCACTGCAGGGCAGCTCCTATATGTTCCTAGAAGCACTCGGGCTTGAAGCTGATGCTGCACTGCAACCCTTCCGTTGCAGGTTCCCACTCGCGGATAACGGTTAGGCATTGTTGCTCAGTATAACTTCCATATTTAGCAAAATACACCACTGAATACTGCTTCTTAGGGGCCAGGGGGTGTAGTGGTTAGAGTACTGGACTGGGACTTGGGGGATCTGGGTTCCAGCTCCCACTTGGCCTCAGAGCTTACTGGATAAATGTGGCCAGTCACTAGCTCTCAAGCTGGTCTACTTCACAGGGTTGTTTTGAGGAAAAAATGGAGAGGGAAAGGATTGTGTGAGCCACCTTCAGTTCTTTGAAGGAAATGTAGGGGATATAAGTAGAATAAAATTAATAGATTGTGTGTCCATGAGTGTTGTTGCCATCATGAATGCTGGAGGGTGTTCTGGAAGCAACTGGTTCAGTGCTGTAGTGACAAGACACAAGGTAGATGGAACCCGGGACTCTTGTCACTGCAAAGCTGTTTCTCCTAGAACTTTCATTCACGTGCCTCACAGTGTGATGCTCGGATGCTGGCCTTAGCAGCCATTTTCCAAACGCGTGTTTCTGAATTCAAGTGGACCCTGTCTGCAGTGTCCAATATCCATATATGCAACAAATTGTTGAAATTGGACCTCTCCTCCCCTCATTCTTATCCCACTGGGCTGCCATTACTACATCGAAGTAGATGTGTTTAAAGGTTTTCTACCAAGAAATGATCAACTTTTCAGCCAACGCAAAACCAAACACATTCATGACATCCAGATGAGATTTCCTGGCAAGAAAAAGGTGACATTTTCAAAGTCTTCTCCTCCCTCATCTCAGTAGATTTTCCTTACCTATTTTAAGTTGCCATTTATGATGGAAAACATCCATACTTCCTGCATCAAGAGATTCCAATAAGCTGGTAAAATCTGCTTCGAGACAAGAAATTTCTGCCCCAAACTAGCAAAAATCCAGTCCAAAAGAATGCTGTTCATTGTATTATTCAATTCATTATACCTGAATTGTTAAAGGTTCAGATAAAGCAGCCAAAACATTGGTCTGTCCCCTAAGGTTTCTTGTCTCCAAAAGAAACCAGCCTTGGATTGCAATCCAGTCCGACTGAGATCCATGCATGCATTCTTGAGATTAAGGCCCAAGAAAGTGCTTGGAACTTGCTTCTGAAAGAAGATACATGAAGTTGCTTTCCCATCATCCTGCAACTTTGCAGGGAAATCGTGGACTGAAATAAACATCTCTTCCTTTCCTCCATAGCTGATCGCACAGCCAATGACAGTCCGCCGTGGAGACCGTGCTCCGGTCCCTATCCGCGAGCACATGGCCATCGATGTATCTCCAGGCCCAATCCGACCCATTGCCCAGATCTCGGCTTATTTTCCACACCCCGGGCTGGAGGGGATGCTGACAACACGGGACAGAATGAGGGGCCAAGGGCCTACGACGGTGCCTCCTGGCACTGGAGAAGGAGAGGCCGCTGATGGATACGATTCTGACGAGAATAGTGAGTTTGAAAGCTTGGTGAGGAAAGGGATCCAGCCGCTCCAACTCAAAGCACCTCATCATCACGGGGTGGGAGGGAAGGGGGGTGTCGTTCCACCAGCCCGTACCTCACATTCCATGCATATGCCTGTCCACACATGCAGAATCGCTCACACTGACCGTCATCTCACACGCCGACTCTCTCTCCTTGCCACGTTTTTATAAGGAGACTTTGTCGTAAGAGCATCCACAATCCCTCCACACAGATGCACCTCTAAGGGTAGTGCTCCTGTGAGAAAATCTAACATCTGCACTCTCAGACCAGCACATGCCTGCTCAGAGCTGTGCCTGTCCTCTCGTCTCGAGCTTGCATTTATACACCAGCATATACCTCTCTCCCCGTGTCCCGCTCTCTCCCCCCCCCTCCCCTCATACACATGCACTTTCTTTCTTGCACACACCTGGACAAAAACACAACAAGATGTGTTTTTATACAGAAGTTTTCAGAAATCTGGATATCCAAATCCAAAAGATAAGCTTCCAGGCTCTGTCTCATCACAAATACATATTCAACATGCATTCCAGTTAGAAGTTGCATTCATAAGACCTCCCTTCATTTGTGTATCATTACACAAATAATCACAGAAGCATATGCACACTCTCTCTTTCACTCGCTTTCTTGCATGCTTTAGCATATTTACTAGAAAATAAGGCTCAGTGAAACCAATAGAACCGCCTTCTGAGTCAACCTGTCCAGGGTCAGGCTGGGGCTGATGACACCTTGATACCTATATCAAATAGATGGGTGGGCAGACAGATGCAGTCAGCCACCTGTGCTCTTTTCATTGGCCCAGGTTCTCTCCCTGTAAGAGGTGTGCCAGCACTCATCCTCACAGAGACCAAGTTTTACAAACAAACCTTCCTGCTTTGCAAAAGGGTGAAGGTGAAACTTTACCTTAACACTCACATAACCTCAGCTTTAAGGGGTGGGGTGGGGTGGGGTGGTTTGGCTTACAGTGAGGTGGGGGCCCAGTTCCATTCTGGAGAAGCTCTTGAATCTGCGTTTCAGTGGGAACTGGCAAAGGCTAAAGGGCTGGCATGGGGGGCAAAGCCCGTTTTTTAAGAATACAAACATATTGTCCCTTAAAGTTCTTCCTGCTGGAAACAAAACCTTAGCAGATGCATTTTAATCTTCTGCATGGGAACATGGCTCCAGAAAACCCAGGAAATCATGAAACCACTGCTGCTTGGGGGAAAGAGAATGGACCGGGAGGAGAAGGTGTGTCCCTCTTGGCCCCAGATTCCCCAAAGCACAGCCATAGCTCACCAGCCCGGCGCCAGCTCTACCACATCACCTCTGCACATAGCCCTGTCGACACACAGAGGATGCTCCCCTGTGGGGATGCAGAACCCCACTGATGGGCAGAGGAGCACAGAGCCAGGGAGGGATTCGCAGTCCTCGCAGCAGCCTGGCCTCCTAGCAAGCCTTGCTGACGAATGAGCAGATTGCGGAGCCAAGCCTGGTCAATGTTCTGGAGGCAGCATGACCAACGGCCCACTGGGTGCTATATTCAGGACGAGGCTATCGACAGCCACTAGCCCAGATGGCTGGTATTCCACTGGGCAGCAGGAACATCCTCATGCCCTGCCTCTGGATCCCCTGAGGCCTCTGTCGTCATGGGAAAAGGCAGGTGGACTTGTCCAGGAGGACTTCTAGTCCGGTCCAGCCGGGCTCCTCACATGACCAGCCCTGCCGTCCACTGAGTGGAACAATCTGTTTTAGGGGGCCTCTTCGTGGTGGGGGAGGTGGAGATGGAGGAAGGCAGGAATGGTTGTCTGAACGGTGCAGGAAGACTTGTTGAAGCGTTGCTATGGCTGGGGCACTGGAGTTCTACCAACAGCAAAATGTCCTGGGCCAGTCTTGCATGCTCACATTCTGGATTTCCACATGCAAAATGGCACCACCTGTTCATATGCACTTTCTTAGCAAGTGCACATACATACCATGTGTGAACACACACACAAAGTGGCATGCACGATAACCACCAGTAGTCACCAAGACACAAACACACTCGTGCCGAAAGCATGAGATTTCACTCATCTGTGGCTCTGGTTCATAGACAAGCACACAGAAAAGAACACACACCAGTCTGGGGACAAACACACACATGCCTGCATTCACTCAGCCATCTTCCCTGGTGAAAACAAACCCACACAAACTCACACTTTTGCTGACACAACAGCCTGCCCTCAGAGAGAGACACATTTCTGTTCCTTTCCATACAAGCACACACAAGCCAACTTATACAGACCCACAGGAGGGATGGGGGAAGGAAAGACGGAGATGTGGATTAATCAATGGATAGGTGTGAGGAAGGGAAGGAGAGAAATGGAGGATGGAGGTGGACGAGAAGGACAGTAAATAGAGGCAGTGGTGGAGTGGATAGAGAAAGACAGGCAGAGAGCTGAACGTCTGTGCAAGTCCATACAAGGTGGACTTCCCTCAGCTTCATAGCCAGTAAAAGTATGTTTCCCATTCCAGATGGAAGAAAGCAGGGCGGATAACACGTCTTTGGGTGAGCTTTTCACGTGGCCTTCCGTCGGAACGGACTAGCTGAAGGGACGGAGGGCAAGGGGAACACAAGCACCGTCCCTGTTGCCGGCCACCGTGCATCCATCAGCTCTGTGCATGTGGCACATGGGCGCTCTCTGGGCAGTCTAGTACCCTGCTTTTCTTGATCATGTAAAGGCGACCTGTGTGTGTGCGACTCACACGCTTACAGGCACTGTGCGTAGTGAATTGAAGGTAGACATGGAAATTAGGTTATTTTCCCCCTTCACACATCCAGCCTACATGATTAAAATTAGTCTGTTAATTAGTTGGTTAAAACTAATTTTAAACATTAAAACCTGGCTATTGCTATAGAGAGGTATATATGTAGGTAAATATAAACGGTCCCGTCAGGGGATTATAAAATCCAATAGATGGCTTTACCTAAGAAGCTTTTTGCCATGGCAGGTTTCTACCCTAAAATGTGCAGGGTATAAATAACATAACCTCAGAACATGTGCCAAATGTTTTTGTCTCTTCACCATTAAGTAACTACTAGAAGACCTATGCAGCTAAGATCAGAGATGCAAGGCATCCAGGTTTAAAGGGTGGGACTTCTTGCTTACATTCAACTCTGAGAGCTTTGGGTTTGTTTGTTGTTATCAGATGCCACTCTGAGGCTGATAAAAGATAAAGAGTTAATTTGGATTAAGCTGGGGGTGGATAGGTTGATTGTTAGACAATCCACCCTTTAGGAATAAAAGTTCCTGAAAGCTTTTGGTTCTCCAGTCATAAAGAAACATCTCATATAGAGTTGCATGTGATTCCACACAATAGCAGCATCCTGCCCAGCAACCCAAACCACACACAGCATGGTCCTTGTATACACAGTTCAGCATTCTAAGAACTTATTTTGCATTAAAACAAAACAAACTGTTTGTAAACTCCCACAAGGTTTCTAGTCCTTATGATTCTAAAGACCCCAGGAGAAGTATGTAGGTGATGCCTGATGAGATCTCAAAAATCTAGAAGCAAGTTAAGAGGTTAGGATATAGGACTCCACTTCAGAGCACTGTTCAGTCCCCTACCTTGCCCCTTAATGAGCAGAAGCAAAATTAATTCTGCATAGTTAAGCACACTTCCCTCATCTGCATGACTTATGTGAGTTATTGCATCTAGCTTTATTGGTGCCTAAATTAGGTTATCTAGGGGAGGGGGAATGTTTGATTTATTTTATTTCTGAGTAAACAGCTCTGGGAATATGCCAGTTGAGAGAAAATATCTGTACAGATCCATGCAGAAATTGGGGGTGGCAGGGAGGATATGGACAGGTAACCGAGGCAGATGGATGGCACTAAATAAATAAGCAGGCAGATTGGGTGATTTGGAAAGGAAATGCTGATACAACCAATTAATTGATTCTTTCTCTTCCTTCTGCTTGACACCTGGCCTTCTTCTAGCATCCCTTGGGACCCTTGAATTTGACATCCTTTATGATCCAGAAAGCTGCACCCTCGGTTGCACCATCCTTCGGGCCAAGGTAATCAAGCCTGTCTCCTGAAAAGCACCCAACACGCACACTCACGCTTTCTGGTTACCCCAGCATTGCTGACGCCTTTCAATTCAAACCTGCAGACTTTCTGCATTGTGTGTGTCACTTTCACAGGAAAGGGACATGATTTAATAAAAAGAGAGGCCACACAGGGAGGGGAAATCTCATTACGGAACCAGCGCTGCTGATTTCAGCCTGTTCCCTTTGCTCTTCTGCATTCGACCCGTCTCTTCCTGCAAGCCCTTCGAAAGCAGGCCAGCTCATTTGCAGACCCACCTCTCCTGCAGACCCACATGGCCCTTGGCTGGCTGTGTTTGCACAACCTCTACCCTCACATACATGCCAACAAACACAACCCCCCTCCCTTTCTTTCCCAGCTGGTGGGCTTGCAGCATCTTCAAGCACCTCGGCGACGCGCCAGGCAACCGGGTATCTGCAGGCATCTGGGGTTGCCGTGGCAACAGAGGAGGGAGGGGGAGCGAGGGAAACAATGCGGCAGCTCGGAACCACGGCGAGAGTTGTCCTGCCCCTCCACCACCACCACGATCCACGGCCACTGCCGTGCCCCATCACCTCATGCCCTCTTTCCCAACGTTGTATGCGACCATTTCCCCCCTCAGGTTGTCCCACTAACATGCCCCATCCCTCATTTTAGCTCTGCTCTTCCTGGGCCTCGGACCTCCTCACAAACTATTTTGGATGCGCTCACATGAGCCTTTGGAGGGGGCTTTTATCTGACCAGACTTGCCGTTCCGCCATTGCGCTTCTTGAATGAAGCCAGTGCAGTTGGATGTTTTAGGGGTGGTTCTGAATGGCATTTTAAAAAACCATAGCACTGTTTCGAGGCTCAGAACCATTATCTGGGCCTCTGAGGCTGCAAAGCAGTGCTGACTCCCGGCCGCTGGGCAAGAGGCCCTCCATGGGCCTACTCTTCTGTCTACCTTCTCACCATCCTTGCCACCCACTGGTCTTGCTTCTCAGCCTTTTTCTCATCGTTGCACATCCCTGTTTGCCAGGGAGCCAGGGAACAAGCAGGCAGCAGCTCTGATTGTTCACCATTCCCACAACCACCTTTGTCCAGGCCAGAGCAAGAGGCAGGAGAACTAGCAGGTTGCCATGGAGAAGAAGAGGAGCAAATCTAGGGGCTCTTGTCAGAGGGCACCTGCTGGGGTGTGGGCCCTTTGCAGGTGCCCAACCGTTCCTGTTCTTGACGCTTGCCCATTTCCCCACAAACAAAGCCCAGTTGGCATGCCTGTAAGGTTCTTCAAGAGCGCACCTATCCAAATATTGTCCAGCTACAAATTCCCTACGTAGTCAGTGAGATATAATAAAACCATCCCCAGCATTCTCTTTTGTTTCCGATGCCATGTGCATCAGGTCTCAGCTTTGTTCTAATTCTGGATTATTCTGTCCCGAATAACTGAGGCATAAGAGTGCCTTTGAAGAGTACTGGGAAACAATGAAGCCATTGGTCAAGAAAGTAGTGGCCACTGAGTGGGAGATGTTCAGGGCATATTACTGAGCCCGTGTCCACTCCACTGGCTACCAATTCTTCCCCAGGCAAGATTCAAAGTGCTAGTCTTTACATTTCAGCTCCTGAAGAGTCTTCAGCCAAGCCCACCTCCTTCCAAAAGTACTGGGCTTGGCTTTGTGGATGCTGCCCAGCAACTGAAAGCTGTCATCTGCCCCTTCCCAGCCCCGTCTTGGTAGATCTAAAATTTTAAAAAGCTCTGTCTGGTGGGAAGGAAGACTTAGACAGGGCCTTTTATTAGTGGCACCTGAGTGGTGGGATGACTTACCCAAAGAGGCCTGCTGGATCATCACACTGCTTTGCACTTATTATGCATATGTATCACACTGGTCCTGTATTTAACAATCTGCCTCATACTTCAGACGTTGGCTGCAGTTTGGGCTTCGTTGTGTTGTTAGCTGTGTTCGAATCGTTTTGTAATAATTGATTTTTATTTTTGAATCAGGTTATCACCTCAAAGGCCTCTTAGCAGAAGTTGGGATATATTTTTAATTTAAAAAATACCCCAAGGCTCACTAAACAAAATAAAGCAAATGCTGCTCCAGGCGACTTGATGCGTTACAGATTCTCCAGCAGAAAGTCAATTCTAGCTTGAGAACAGCGTGAAACTCTAAAGTGAATGGTCACATCTGTAATGCACACAGTAGAAAGCACTACCCATAAAGTAATGAAGAGAAGATACCCACCCTCCTTGACCCTCCTCCTCCTCCAGATGTTTTCGGCTATTACTCCTGCAATCCTAGACCACTGGCCAGGCTGCAGTCCGAGTCGTCATTCCAACTTCCATTTCTGAGCAGGAATTTTGTGACAAGTGCAGCGACTTTCACAGAAATACAGGAAACGTGTGCATCCTTCCCATGAGATTTTAAACAGTGCCTCAGGACAAATATTTAGAGTGAAAAGGAACTGATCTCTGTCCTTTTATTCCTAGGGATTGAAGCCGATGGATTTTAATGGCTTGGCTGACCCGTATGTCAAGCTGCACCTCCTGCCTGGGGCCTGCAAGGTAAATTGAGCTTTAGATCATTCTTTCCAGCATTGGGCCCTGAGCCATCCAGTTCCCAGGCCACAGGTGGCACCAGCCACAACGGGAGGCAGCAGCCACGCTGGAGGAACCAAATTTAGTCTGTATCCTCACAGAGCAGGAGCAGGGCAACATTTCCCACACTATGGGGGGCAGGCGGGAGCAGTGGCTGCATCAGAAAAGCAACAAGGCTGAGGAGGAATGAAGGGCATGCTGGCTGGCTGGCTCCATTTCTGGCTGGAGCGGGGTTGAGCTTGGTCCCACTTATTCCGTGTTCTTAAAACAAAATAATGGTCCATTTTTTATTCCACCCTGATTTTCTCTACAGTAATTTCTATGGATTTTGACAAAGCTAATAGGAATACTCTGCAGTTTAGGATTATATTGCTTGATAATGACGACGATGATGAAAAGCACTTGGAGAATATGAGACATGCCTCTTCTTTAAGTACTCACTGAGGTCCAACAATTAAGAAATAAGAGAGTGAGTTGCTCATGGTAGTGGGGAGAGTGCTTGCCCTCCTCTCACTTCCTCCAGGGCTGCTCATCCGGGATTGCTCCCTGAGCAGAAATATGGGATGGGAACCAATTTGAAGTCTTACTCATAATAAGGGGCCTATTTCCAAAAGTGTGGGCTACAACGTCCCTGGGACTGCTGGAAGCAGTGAGTGGGCTTATGAGTGCCTGCGGTGAAATTATGTGGGGCCATAAAACAGAGGTGATGCAGGAAATCTGCGACTGGATCCCCCAGATTAAGGAGCACTCCAAAGAAGCAGGAAATATCAGAAGAGCCCTGCTGGAGCACAGCCAGGCCCAGCATTACGCATGCCCTGTGGCCAACCAAGCCAGCACCTCCTGCTCATGTTCTCCAGTAACCAGAGAGCACTGATGCTTGTTGCCTCTGATCCTGGTGGCAATAGCTCTCGTCATCGTGACTAGCAGCCATCAGTGGACCTCTCTTCCATAACCTTGTCCAATTCCCTTTTAAAGCCAGCCAGTTTGGTGGTCATTACTACCTCGCGTGTCAGTGAACTGCACAATAGAACTATGCACAGTGTGCAGAACTACGTTTGCACTGCCCCGAATCATCCACCAAGCACCGCAGGGGAGCTGTTCCAGCCCTTTGATCGTTTTGGTTGCGTTTTGCTGCCCCCTCTATCCCTTATTTGGTGTGATGCAAAACAGAACTTTGCATTTTATTCTAAGTGCGTTGTACCATCGATTTGTATGGCTGGTTATAATATTGGCAGTTTCATTCTCAATTCCCTTTCTAATTATGCCCAACATGGAATCTGCCTTTTTCACAGCAGCCACACACTAGATTGACTTTTTCATCAAGTTATTTACTGTACTTCCGAAATTTCTTTCCTGGCCAGTCACTACCAGCATTACACTTTTTTGTCCCAATATGCATCATGTGGAGAGATATTTTTGGAGCTCTTTGCAATTTCCTCTGGTTTTAACTATGCTATATAATGGGCAGTTGGGGACAGCACCATTTTTTTTGGGAGCAGCTTGAAAAACAGGTGTTTTAACACTTCCTCCCTGCACCATTTTCCTAACTCAAGTCCTCCCACACACCCTGAAGCTGCTTATTAGTCCTGCTGGGAAGGGAGGAGGGTGGAAAAGGGATGATGCAGGTAGTTTCTCTATTCTTTCCTCAGTGAGTCCAATGGCAGTTTTGGGGTCATGTATATAAGGGACAGGGAGAGAGGGAAAGATTAATTTTGATTGGGAAAACAGCAAATTCCTCCAGCTCTTCTAGAGTCAGTGATCCAAACTGGGAGCCCCGTTTAAAGTTTGGGAATTGAAGTGGGAACACTTACAAAGTTGGGCAATCTAATCAGGATCTCTTGCATCAAATCCGTTTTGACAGTTTTGAGGAAGTGGTGTCCAAAGGGCTGGTGTGTAGGGACCAGAGGGAGATGGACAGGAGTGATGGGGCTATTTGAATAGGCTGCTGGAAGGGAAGGGAAGGATACAAGCCAATCCAGAATAGCCAATGACTGACTGTGGGTCGAGAACATCATTACAAAGAAATTCCTTTGCACAAGAATTTATTGGCAACAACCCTGGCAAAGAGGACTTGAGGAAAGGATTAAGATCATTTCATGGAGGAGGAAATGCTTATCAATAGCTACCTATTTTTCTGAAAAGGTATCTAACCCCAGTAAGCAGAACATTCCCATCTTCTGATGATGCATAAGCTCTGAACACCAGAAACTGGGGTGGCCAGCCATCACTGGAGGCGAACTGGAAGACTGAGCAACTCTTCGGCAGTGGTTCTGCTCCTGCTGACTGGAAACACTTAATACACTAAAAAGTATATACCTTAATAATCAAGCAAAGAGAGGTATATGGGGAGTTGATTTTGGAAATACTAGAACAGAACATAGTCTGGTAATAGCATCAGCTGGGAAATTATCTGTATTTAGTGGGAGGAAAAAGAAAACCACAGCAAATTAAATACAAACACATCCCATGGCAGTTTCCCAGTTTCTAGCCAAGGGAATGAACAGGAGGCTGTAGGGCCATGTTTGAGCTTTGCTCAGATGTTCTGCTCCTCCATTCTAATTCTTTCTGCCCTGGGACTTCTTGCTCTCCAGGCAAACAAACTGAAAACACGAACACAGCACAATACGCTCAACCCCGTCTGGAATGAAGCCCTGATATACAATGGGATAACAGCTGAGGATATGGCCCGGAAAACTCTGCGGTGAGATGTTACCCTACCCACCTACTCAGAATCCCATCCCACAGCCCCCCTGCCACGCTGCCTTTGCCACAACAGCCCCCATCATCTCTTTCTCTGCTTGCCAGAATCTCTGTCTGTGACGAGGATAAACTGACACACAATGAGTTCATAGGAGAGACCCGGGTGCCTCTGAGACGCCTCCGGCCTGGCCAGAAAAAACATTTCAACCTGTGCTTGGAACGGCAACAACCGGTGAGAGTCAAGCGTAAGGAGGTTGTATACTCCAAAGTGAGTCAAGATCTATCCAGTTATTTCATTCGTTCCTTCATTCAGTATCGGACATTCAGACATGCCCTTCCAGCTGCTTTTCTGCCTAGTCACCTTGGCCTCCTGCCCTGTGGCCCACTGATAGTTCAGAACTGCTCCTCTGCCTAGAGGCTTCCTCCTCTCAGCCAGACTAACTTACTCCCTTCTCTGTGCTCATCACCACCCCTTCTACTACAGGTCCTTTCTCCTCATGCACTGGAATGGCTGTGCACATTCCATGGGATAAGAGCACCTCTAATGGGCAGGAGGTGGGCAGGAGAAGCTCTCAGACAGCCACCACTGTGGGGAGAAATGGAGGAGACAAGAAATCAGGATTTTCAGGGTCCACACAGGATGGGTCCCCTTTATGTATTATTTATTACATTTCTAAACTTCCCAATAGATGAAGCTTTCCCTGCCCTCCTTACATCCTTGTCCTTCACCCATGATGAAAACGTTCAAACTACGCAAACAAACCATGTGGTTTATAACATTCAAATATTTTGGTTTACCTTGGTGCAAGCTCAGAGATTTCCTTAATGGATTTTTACCCTGCATGCATGTAATATATTGAGTCTGGCTTCTTCTGGGTCCATGTGGCATTCACCTCCTCATACCTGTGCACCAGCCTTTACACCTTTCATTTTGCCACCCTGTCCCTTGACTTCCCCAGCTTTGTGGTGTTTGTATTTAAGAGAGTAAGGAAACAGATGTTGTGGGTTTCCCTCAACAGCTGGCATCCCCTTCCTCCATGACTGCAGCTTTGCGTGGGATCTCCTGCTACCTGAGAGAGGTGAGCGGGCTTCCCTTTCCCTTTCCTCACGACGAGAGCTCAGGGGACAGTTGGACCAGGGGCAGGAAGCTCTTCTGCTCAGGAAAGGACTGCACCCCCCCCCCCACATTGGACAGACTTTCCCTAGCTGGTGTCCTTCAGATGTTGGCTGTGCTGGCTGTGGCTGATGGGGACTGAAGTCCAAAGCCTCAGGAAGGCACAAGCTTGGGAAATTTGCCCCATCAGGGGTAAGCTGTTGGGTGGGAGAACAGCCAAGCTGGCGATAGCATGGACAGCCCTTTTCTCTGTTACCCCCTTCCTCCTCAGTGGGCTGCTGAGGGAAGTCCAGAATAGTTTGGCTGGGCTTTCGCTCCCTCCTCCTCCAAGCTCATTATCCATTTTCACTTCCCACTGCCAGTTTTACCCCTCCCGCCCTGCCTATCTGCATGGCACTGGGGCAAGGGCCACACGTATTGGCCAGTGGGATGCCAGCAGGGGCAGCCGCCTGACAGAGGGTGGGCAAGAGGCCGCGCTGGCACCGGACAAGCCACAAGGCCCTGGTTGAAGGATGGGGAGCACTGACCAAGGCTCAGGGGGCTCAAAACGCTGAAGTGGAGAGAACAGCTTTCAAAATCTTTTGCCTGGGATGCTGCTCCGGTCAAGGCTAGTTCGGACAGGTTGGAAGGCAGGCAGGCATTTCATACAAAAGCACTCCATGATCTTTTCCTTCCTCCACTACATAGCTAGAACCCTCCGCTGGCTGGGCCCTGGAGGAACGGGGCCGCATCCTGCTCGCCCTCATGTACAGCTCTGAACGCCACGGACTGCTGGTGTCTATTCTCCGCTGTGCCCACTTAGCTGCCATGGACGTGTGTGGCTACTCGGATCCTTATGTAAAAACGTGAGAAACTCAGACACATGGGAAGGGAGTGCTTCAGCCACGGGCTAACATGGCCTGTGTCGGGCAAGGGAAGGCAAAGGGCTGGCCAAGGAGAGGGCTGGCTGGGCAGGGGGCATGATCACCTTATTCCCCGTTGCTTAAGCGTGCTAAGAAGCATGCGTGGAGAACTAGAACGAGAACCCAGTAGGGTCAAGGCATGAAGCTTACGGGTGGGAAGTTTGGGACAGATGAAAGGAAGCTCTTCTTTACACAGTGCATAGTTAAATTCCTCCATGAGATGCCCTGACAACCACTAACCTGAATTGGATGCAGAGGAAGAGACGATCACAGGTTACCAGTCCTGATGCTACTTGCCACCTCTAGTACCAGAGGCAGGGTATAAATAAATGGAGGGAGGAGGATCCATTTCCATACTGCTAATAGCTGATGCTCTGAGCACTGCCTAAAACAAGGCCACAATACAATAAAAACTAAAATAAATTCACAATACAGAATTAAAGAACCATTTAAGAAATTTAAAAACAATTCATTAGCAAAGAACATGTTTAATACAGAAAAGACCAGAAGAGACATAGGTGCCCCCATCAAGCCATTAAATAACCCTAGATGTCCTTAAATGCCTCAGCCCAGAGGGCTGTCTTGACCAGGCCCCAAAAGGATGGAAATGTTGCTCCAGGTAGGTCTCATTGGGGACACCAGTCCATAATCATGGGGCTCCCACTGAGAAAGCTCTGTTCTTTGTTCCTTGTAATCTCCAAATGAACCTCCCTCAGAGGAGGCACTTGGAAGAAGTCTTCAGATGTTAGTTATAGTGTCTGGATAGACTGTAGTTAGTACTGCAGCCTAAGCCTTGTAAGACTATTTTAATATATAAAAGCAGAATCTTGAATCCAGCTCAGAAGTGTCTAAGGTGGCCAAGATTAGCAGGCCAGGTTTGGTGCTATGTGTTCAGGCCTTTTGTCTTATTGTTAGGCTGGCTGCCTCATTTCACTTATGGTGCTGCTTCTGAAAAGTCTTCAAGGGCAGCTCCTCATAGAATAAATATAATGCTGTAATCTAAGAAATTACCAGAGTTTATATTCTTAATCAAATGACTGATGCTTACCATGGCCCACCTAGAAAGGTCCATCTTCACCCCAGCTGGAAGGTAATCAGAATTCAACGTAAAATGTTCTGATTAGGAAAGCTTTTAGAGATTTTTATTTTAAATAAACCATCCATTTTGATATAGTCATTTCGTAATTACTATAGGTTTTGAGTTCATAGCATAGTGAGTTTTCCAAAGATATTTTTGTACTAGCATATAGAATGCCAAGGATTGGTAGCCACCTCAAGAGATTTTTTGTGGGGAAGAAAGATGAGAAATGGCCTAGATAGGCATCAACCTCCTCTTTGTTTTGGGCAGGTACCTGAGACCAGATGTAGAGAAGAAGTCAAAGCATAAAACAACTGTGAAGAAGAAGACACTGAACCCTGAATATAATGAGGTGACTGGCGACTGCATGCACTGGGGGGCAAAGCATGAGCCGATGGCCGGGTGGGACGAGGCTGGGCCAGAATTCTCCACTTCTAACTTTGCCCTCTTCCCTGCTCACACTGCAGGACTTTTTCTACGAGATCGAACAGTCAGAACTTGGTCACAAATCCCTGGAGATAACAGTTTGGGATTACGACATTGGGAAATCCAACGACTTCATTGGTGAGAAGAGACAGTGGAGGGGTTGCTGGGTTAGAAGATGGTGGTAAGGGGCTTGGAAGGGGGCACTGGATATAATCAATGGCATAGATTTATATGTGGTTACATGGCATTCTGCCCCCACAAGAGCACTCTGGGGACTGTATTTCCATACAGGCAGCTGGGAGTCTCTAGCACACAACTCCCAGCAGCCTCACCAAAGTACAGCTCCCAAAACTCTTTGGGGGCAGGCCAGAGCTAAGTGGGATAGACTGATGTGGGCCCACGGTTTCACAGGGAGGCGGCTTCATGTGGGGCTGCCCAAAGGAAGGAACTGCTTGGAGTCGACAAGAGCCTCTTTATACTTCCTTTGCAGGTGGGGTCACTCTTGGCCTAGGGGCCTCTGGGGAATGCCGACAGCACTGGCTTTCATGCCTCCAGACCCCCGACTGCCGTCTTGAGCACTGGCATACCCTCACCAACGAGCTGCCAGAATCCTCCACTTTTGGCCCCTGAGACAGCCTCGCAGCAGTCCACAGAACCGCATCCTCCCGCCCTGCCTGCCAGAAAACCCGCATAATAATAAGGGAGGGGCACAGCACCAAGGGCCCCTCCTCTGCACGAGGACGTTTGCACGTTTTCAAAATTACTTGTTTTGTTGGTGTCCATTTATATTATGCTCTAGGGAAGGGCGTAAATGGAGGCCACCCCCTCTTCCAGTTTGATACGTTAAGGCAACAGTGTGGGGGGTGCAAAGTGTGGAAGAGCCAAGGAAAGGCAGGAGGAGCCCAAGAGGCAGACTTGTGAGTGCTGCTTCTTCTTTAAAGAAAGTCAATGAAAAGTCACAGTAAATAAACCTATCCTCCAAGAATTCCTTCACCACCCCCACAAACATTTGTCTTTTCAAGCAGACCATGGTTCTGAAATGACATTCTTTTATGCCAAGTTTTGGCTTGGAATTTAAAAGGATAATTGCTTGGCTCACAAAAAGATAGCATAGTGTTTTTTAATAAGGAAGGGAAAAAATTAAAAAGCATTTAAGACATGCATCCCATCTGAATTTTTATACAGCCTAAATTTTCTCTCTTTTCCCTGCTCATCTTAACCTGAAATTGACATACAAACTTCATGCTCTTGAACTATTAAGAAAAAGTGTCCTTAGTCCTTTAGCTTCCTGCCTAGATGAAAAGGGTTTCTATCTGGCATACTTCATTCTACTCACTCAGAGTCCTGCTTGCTTTGCTGCACATACCTTTGGCTTGAGAAAAACAGCTGTCTACACACTCCCTTCCTGAAAACACATTTTATTCTCCCCATCTTTACTCTTTTAAAACAGGCTCAGAGCAAAACACTGTGCTGTTCATGAACTGCTCCCCGTTTTTTGCTAGTTTCTGCCAGAAATGCTGACACTTCCATATATGAGAAGTTGTGTGTGTTGCTGAGGAAGGCACACTCACCTTTGTGTAGCCTGCCTCCACACACACCTGGCTCAATGTAATTTGGGGTTGACGTGTCCCCAGTAGAGGCTACCCAGCCCATTTAAAGATATTTAAGGGAGATACCCTACCATCCCACTAAGGGGTGAACATTCGAACACTCACCACCACCACATCGCTCCTCGTGTTCAACCAAATCGACTTTCCTGTGACTTAATCGCTTTTGACCTAACCCTGCAGCCCTGTAGCAACAAACAGATCCTTGCCTTGGTATCATCTGCCTCAGCTCTCTTTTCTCCATGCTAGGCCTGCAGTGTCTCAGCTGCATACCACACGTCTTCTCTAGCCCTGGCCATCTTGGGTGACCACCTCTGAGCCTATTCCACAGAATCCTCCTTAAGTGTGACACCCAGGTCTGGGCGCAGGACACCAGAGGAGGCTGAAGTAGCAGAGTAAAGAATAATCCTCATGGCTTGAGGCAACAGTACCAGTAACGCACCCAGCCTTTTTTCAGCCGTGGCACACTGCTCCCTCACGTTCTGCTTCTGACCAACAACAATCCCAAGATTCTTTCCACATGCACTGCTGCCAAGCCTGGTGACCCACATCTTCTGGTCGCACTTTTTTTTCTTTGCCTAAGGGCAAACTCTGCTCTTGTCTCTGTTAAATTTCAGTGTGTTCATTCAACTTAGATTTCCCATTATTCTGAATTTTATTCCTGTTTTGCTAGCTGCTCCTCTCAGTTTGGCTTCATATTCAGATCTCCACCCCATCATCTAAGCAATTGATAAAAATGTTGAAGAGTACCAGACCCAGAATAGAGCCCAAGGCAATCCTCTCAAAACCTCCCATCACTCTGCTGAGGAACCACTGGTGAACATACTTGAATAGAGTTTTCCAACCAGCAGTGAATGTCCCTTGTTAGAGAAGTACAGGAATGAAACTGATTACCTAGGGAGGCGGTGGGCTCTCCCACACCGGAGGCATTCAAGAGGCAGTTAGACAGCCATCTGTCAGGGATGCTTTAATGTGGTCCTGCATTCATACTAGCCTCATAGGTCCCTTCCAACTCTAATATTCTATGGTTTACTTTACAGTAGTATTGTCTGGGCTACATTAATTTTCCAAGCACAGTATCACAGAGGGCTTTGGTAAACACTTTTGCTGAAAAGCAAAGTACTTTGACTCCACAGAATTCCCACAGACTCTAGGACGCAGTGTTCAAGCCCTAAAGATGCGAACTCATACAGAACAGCTCAATATATCTTGACCAATTCTTTATTGCTCTCAAACTGGATATAATTTCCTTGCTGAGAGGGGAAGCAAACCGGGAGCTGATTTTTTTTTAGTTTACCATTTCCTTCAGCTTTCTCTTCCTTCACACACACCAAAGGCCCTCTTTGTTGCTTTTAGTATTCCTCACCAGCTTCTTAGCTGCAGCATTCCTGAGACTCCTTGGCGACCTATCTTTCATTTTTGTACAGATATCCTTTTCTTTCTCAGCTCATCAGTCTGCTCTTCATGCAGCTACTTTGACTTTCTCAGATGTCCCCATTTTTCATCTTCATGGGAATGGTTTGCGACTGCTTTTGAGAATTCCACTGGGAAAATCTTTCTGAAAAGCACTACAACTTCTGATGGGGATTCATGTATTAACAAAGAGGAACAGGCAGAGACAGAAGGCAGGATTGGCCGTGGTCATGACTCTCTGGCCCAGCCTACCATTAGCTGGGCTGAGGAAATCCGTCCCAGACAGCAGAGCTGGTGGCACCATTAAAGTGGGGGGCGGGGGGATGAGGATGGGACTGCAGATCCAGCAACCAAATACAACCTTCCTTCCCCAGATGGCCATCTCTCCAGATGACGATGTCCCTTTCCCCAGCCACTGATCACTGGGTTGTTTCTTCACTTTTAGGCATAGTTTCCCCATTCTAAAAGGTTGAAAGGCCTCTCCAAAGATTTACATTATTAAGTCTTTAAGCCAAATGTGCTACATTTCCTATATGTTTTCACCCACTGCCCACCACCGGAAAGTGGTCACCAAGAGCATCTCCAAACTAGAATTCAACCCTGAAGCTGAACAAGGTTTAGCACCCCTGCATAAAGATGGCAGTCATTATTTTACCAGTGTGCGGCAGTAGGAACTTGGGCATCATTTGGACCATTTCAGAGGTCCACATTCGCCCTCCAAGCACGACAGAAGTTCACCAAGAGTCACACGGTAGTCCTGCGACAAATTAGTTTGCTGTAGAAGTTGCGAGCCAGTTTTCAAAGAGAGGCAGTCTTCCATCTATGCTGATAGGCAAGTATGCAGCCAAGGAATAACTGAGCATTTTGCTTCTCTTAAATCTACTATCGACCAGACATAAAACACAAGATTCTCTTTTGCCAGTTTCCAAAGATTCTTCCCTTGTTCTCAGTTCTTACATTTGTAATCACAGAATGGTTTCTTATAGACATCCAATCACCACTAAAAAGAAAAAAAATCTGTAGCAAAAGCTGCAATGCAGCAAGTAGCAACATTTGGGTGCCTACCAGAAACCATCTAGTAAAATAACATGTTTAAGATACAGGGGATGTTCCAATTTTATATGAAGGAGACCCCGTGTGCATTTTGATAGATACCACAGAATTTCTGGAAGTAGATAAAACTTCCATGTTTACATGTGCAATGAAAAACTATTTTCTTGGTTCTTAAAAAGGGTTACCCTTTCCCCTCTCAGGAGATTTCAAGCACTTTTTCAGAGTTCCCTGCCTTTTAAAGGGACTTTCTTTTCTTCTCCGCCCCGAAATAAAATAAGAGAGAGATTTACCCCATGTTGTAAAGGGATGTATTTTTTTCACATGAATTTTTCTTTATTAATAACCTGAAAAGGTCAAGAAACCTCTGGCCTCATTATGAGGCAAATTCTTCTAAGGGCTCATGGGGTTTAGGAGAAGAAGAAAGCTTACAGGGGGTGGGATTTGGGGAAGCAGGGGCACAGAAATGGCGCCTGGAATTTTTTATACAAAAAATCCCATTTATTGACTGTTTTGCATGTTTTTTGGAGTCTGTAAACAAGAAATAAAATTGTGGGGCACCAGAGAGGCCTGTGTCCTTTGAACGGGAAGTGCCGCTTGCTGGGGTCACTCGGGTATGTCGATGACCAGCTCGTCGTCGCCATCCAGAGGGTCTTCGCCACTCCCCTCCCCTGCGTCACTGAACATCTGGTGAGGCACTGTGCTGAGGATGGTGGGCGGTGGCAGCTTGGGGGTCCCACGGGGCGAAGGAAAGGGCAGCCCCACCACCACAGGAGAGCAGTCAGTGGGGGAGGCAGGGGGCAGTGGCAGCTGTGGAAGGAGAGAGAGAGAAACATGGGTGGGACACATGACCCTGGCCTTCCCAGGCCCACGGATAAAGAAGCAATGCAATCTGTTAGCTTCTTCCCACCATGTGCAGAACATTAGTCCAGTGAGACAGAATAACACTATACAGGCAGTCCCCAAGTTACAAACACCCAGGTTACAAACAACCCATACATATGAACAAACTGCCTTAAAGCCTATTAATTTTTTTAAAATGCTGCAGAGAATTGCCATCACCATAGAGAAAGAGGAAGGGCTCCAAGGCAGGCTTTCCTGCCCTGCCCACCTGGAGAAAGAAACCTCACCCACATTTCCTTGCTGCAAAGAGGAGGCTCTGGTGAGTTTGGGCGGCAGGGGGCTAGAGATCTTTGTGACTTTTCCATTTTCACAGAGATCTTGCGCCCCGACCCCTGTGACTGTGGAGGTCCAACTATATGCAATTCAAGTTACAAACACATTTGACTTAAAGATGAATTTGTTTTCTCAAGGATGGAACCCATTTGTAACATGAGGACTGCCTGTACTTATTTTGGCCTATCAAACCCCGTAACAATTAATCTGAATTCTTGTCCAAAACTTTCCGTGGCTGAAGCAGGCAAAAGAACATTGCATATCAAATCTGCACATGGAAAATTGCATCAGAATCAAAAGGGAGGCAGGATGGGTGAGCCTTCCAAAAATGTATGGGAGCACCTTGCAACCCCATCATTTCACCAGCATCACCTATTTCTTCTCAAGTGCCCACAAAAATGGACATGGACATTTTTGTCTCACTGGCTGAAATAGTGTCTCATTGACAGGGGATCAAGCAACCCCCCCAGAACAACAAGACACGTGCTGCGTGTTACTCCCCCATGGCAAGCTCAGGAAATAAGGTTACATGGAGAGCTGCTGTGCAACATCTGTAAGAGATTCAGTATCAGTTTCCAGCTGTTACACTTCACATTTGGTACACTGCAACTCGCATGCTTGCTGAGGATGATGGCAGCTGTAGTCTATATGCATCCAGAGCATACTAGGCTGATTGAGAAAGGCCGTTCACATGTTACGCCTTACTACGGGGAAAGATGCCCCCCAGGTGTGTGCGATTATCGCTCCCGTCAAGCGCAGCGCACGGTCAGGATTTCTGGGAGCTGTACGAAGCAGGTCAAATCAGTTCGCCTCGATCAGTTCCATTTCCAGAAGCAGAGGAAGCATCACCAGAGACAGTTGTGGTGAAATCTCTCTCAAACGATCCAGTCTCCTCCTCACAACACAAGGGAGTATCTGGCTGTTTGAGCACATGTTCCCAAATGCAATGCAGTACCATGTATGCAGATTCCAACACACCCACAAACCTGCACTGCATTTTCCGAAAAGCAGTTCCCCCAGCCCCACCCACTGCACACACAAACAGACATGCACACATGCACGCACGCACGCACGCACACACGCAATCTCCTGGCGGTACCTTGGGCTTGCGGGGCCTCGGGGGCCGCCGGGCAGAGCGGGTAGCGTTGGTGTCAGGCTGTGGGGGCCCAGGCTCAGCTCCCAGTGCCAAGTAGTCAGAGGGGAAGGGAGCATAAGGGGGTGAGGCCAGCTGGGCGGGAAAGGGATGGTGGGAGGCAAAAGATGGAATAAGAAATCAAAGAATGAATGATGAGCACATGAGCCCCAGAAAGGGGTTCTGAATTTTGTAAAGTTAAGAAGCTGCTGTATATATATTCGAGAGCTGTTCCTGCAAATCGTGAGCAGGTGGCTCAAACACCCACCTACCATGGACAGCCCTCCAGAATCCCCTTTCTCCAGACTGATCAGCTGGATCGTTCTGGGGACCCCAAACAAGGCAAACAGTTGGCAACCCCTTCCTGCCCCTGGCAGCGGATGGCATCTTGATCCTGAAAGTGGAGGCTTCCTATAGCTGCCACACGGCCTCGTAGCCACTGGAGAACGCTCTGCAGAAGCATCTCATCTTTTAAAGAAGGACCCTCTTTTAAAGCCAGTGGCTTTTGTAGCAGCGAATTCCGTATGCATTGGTCTGTTCTGTGAAGGCGTACTTCCTCTCGTCTGCCCTGAATCTATCCATCATACCATCAGCTGTAGTAAGGGACCTCCTTGGAGTTCTAGTCTTGTGAAAGCAAGAGGAAAGCCACAACCTTGCTGGCCACTTTCTCACCATTTTGCATTAATTTATAAACCCCACACACAGCCTTCCCCAAGCTTTGCCCTCCAGGTATGTCAGACTCAGCTCCAATGCAGGCAGGGCCATGCTGGCGAGGGCTGATGGGAGCTGCATTCCAGATCATCTGGAAGCCACTGGCTGGAAAAGGCTGATTTATCACATGACCCCCCTGGGCTCGGTCCTGTGCAGGTTTATCCCTTCCTGATATAAAAGCTGCCCTGGTTCCTTGAGAGCTTTGTTTGCCCCTTTTTTTGTCAGCTATAATCCTTAGCAGAAATTGGTCTCGAGAGTCTTTTTCCTCTTTGTGTGGGGGTGTCCTCATTTGCACATACAGAATGAAACAGACTGAGTTCACATACAGATCAGATTCATATACTCTGTGTGTGTACATCTGCCTTCCCTAACCAGGTGCTCTCCACACGTTTTGGGCTTCAACTCCATCTTCCTCAGTCTCTGACCACAGGATTGATGGGAGATATAGTCCAAAAAATTTTGTAGGTACCGGGTTGGGGCAGGCTAGTTTCTACAAATGCAGGAACTAACAACTCTTGAGAAAGGCATCATCTAAAAAAGCAGCCTTGATATATAACCCTAATGTGATCGTATCCTGCGTTCTCCCAGCACATTGCTCTGACTCTAAGAAAGACGGAGTCTCAATTTTCTGCCTATATACGGGGTTAACAACCACACCTAACACTGCAATAGAAAAATAATGAAGTGAAATGGAAGTGATATGAAAAGGAAGCTAAAGGCAAGAGGATGGGGGAGTATGACACAAATAGCTGACTTCAGGCTTGCCCTCAGAACTAGGATCACCATTTTGGGTAAGGTTGCACAAATATACATGAGTCTGTAGGCAGGACCTGGATACAGACTCTGGCCAAGCTTTGTCGTTTGTTTTTATCCTATCCATCTTGGCAGCTTTAGCAAGAACAGCGGGGTGACCGTTCTGAATGCGGATGAAGAACCTTAGCCTCTGTCGGCCCTTCTTTCAATGCCAGCACAGCCACGCTGAGTCAACCACAGGGCAAAACACCTCACTTTCAAAGGTGGCTTTGGGGCCTAGGAAAACGAAAACATGGATCAAAGAGGGCAGAGAATCTCCACAGCCTGGGGTGACCATGTTACAAGTTCTGGTCACAAGTGTAAAAAAGACCCCACAAAGCCATCTCTGACACTGGATCTATTCCCAAGCCTTTTCTGAACTTACAGGATCTGAAGGTTCGATTTGGGCAACCAGTTCTACTCTGCCCCATTACCCATTGAGAGATGGAGTTACTCACAGAGGTTAAGTAGGGGGATTGTGTCCCTGAAGCTGGGAGGCCAAAGCCAGATGTTGGCTGGAGGGAAAGACCTGAAGAGGAAGGCGATGAGGCACTGCCAAGCTGCGGACTGCGCTTCCTACGGAGAGACAGAGATTTGTGATTTTTGAGTGAAGATGAGCTGTGAGTGCACTCTACAAAGCCAGCTCCGGGACTGATGGATGGGCTGAATGATTTTCTTTCTAGTTTGTCAGACTGTCAAAGCTCTCTGAGCAGTTCACGAAATGAAAACCTGCCGCACAATAGAATGTAATATAAAACCTTCCATGGTTCAAAGCAGACTAAAACCACCAGCTGGGAAAAAAACCTAAAAAACACCAGCTGGCAAATATCAAAAACACCATACTGCATTTAAAAACTAAACTGAAGGAATAAATGTCTTGGAAAATAGGAAGGCCTTCACTTGCTGCAAACAAGACCACAAAGAAGGGACCAGGAAAAGCCCTCTGGGGAGGCATTCCATGGCCCTAACCCTTAGCAGCCACTCACTCACTTCATTTGGCAGGGGCCACTGGAGGAAGGCCTCTGAAGATGCTCTTAGGGTCTGCGGAATTGTGGATGGGAAGAGGCAACCCTTCAGGTAACCTGGTCCCAAACCATTTAGAGCCCTAACAATTAATACAAACAGTTTGCATTGAGCTGTGAAACAGACTGGATGCATCCCTGACAATCCTTATTAACAATTCCATCCACTGCCATGTGTTGGTCCAGTTGAAATTTCTGGGCCGGTCACAAAGGGAGCTCAATGTACAGCACATTGCCTTAATTCAAAGCCGAGGCTGCCAGAGCATGGATAATTGCAGCAAGTTATCTCTGACTTCTTGCAATATCAGCTTAAGTTGAGAAAAGGTGCTTCACACCACAGGGACCCCCCAAAAATAAAACAAAACTTTGAGGCTGATCCTTTAGGAGGAGTGCAACCCCCTTCGGGAAAGACTGGACACCACTTAGCTGGGCAGGTGAACCACCTGCTATCAGAAGGTCTGTCTCATTTAGAACAAATCTTGGTTTGTTGGCGCAACAGACCTACAGCTCTCCCTGTGGTGCCACAGACCTCATACCAGATGTGCTACAGAATGCATGACTGACGAGGCAGCCTTCTTTACTTCTAAAATAGATCATCCCTGTGGGATATTGTCTGAAACGGTCATGCCAAAGCTAAAAAGCTAAGCCATACACGAAAACAGCAGATGGCCCTCTTGGCTTCCAAACCAACGGAGAAGGCAGTTTGCAATCAGGCTGCAACAGGTGAAGCAGAAGGGTTCTGCCCGTTGTGATAGCAACCGAGCAGGACGGACAGCCCTCCTGGGAGGGGCAGGGCAGCCACCCTGAGCAGGGGCACTGACCTTCCTCCCGTCTGGAGTCCAGAACTCAGGCAGCCTCACCTCTTTAAGGACTGTGGCTCTGTTCCCTTGGGCATCTCCCCGTCGCTGTTGTCAGAGGATGCTGTTGCGTCCGAATCTGAAATGGAACGTCAGAATTGGACCTGCAGATGCCCCTCTTCCATCAGGATGCTCTGTGCGTGGTGTGTACAGGCATCATTTCATCTACGCAATATCCTTATGAGGCAGGTTTAGGCTGAGAGACAGCATGGTTCAGATTATCCAGTGATCCCCCAGGCTAATTAGTCAAATTCAAGTCTCCCTGGTCCAAGACCGAAAAATAAACGCTCTGCTATACAGCACTCAGCCTCCCGCCCCGTCCAATGCTGAAGGCAAGAACCTTTGCAGTCAGATCCCCCACCACTTAAGGCTTCGCGCAGCAAAGCATTTAGGATCAAGTTGAATATCCTTTCAAAACGCTTTTAACTAAGACTCTTGCTGCTGTTACATTTACTGAGTTACCCATCAGCCTGATGGAATCATGACACCACCTGGACTAAAAGCGCATCACGACATACAGATCTGTATTTATTTAGACTTACAGCTCTTAGCATTCTAAATGGCCAAGGCAGGTTTTAGTCAAGTTACATTTAATTGTAGCCCCTGTTTCTGCAAATACTGCAAGAAAAACAAGCAAATGGACTGCAAAAATGAACAAAGTCACCAACATAATTTAAATAATCAGCACAGTACTCAAATCCTAGAAATTCATTATTACACAGGAACATCACAATAAGGAGGGCTTTAAATAAACAGCATACTTTGCCCAATGTAGCAAATGTTGCTAATGGAACCCAGCAGCCACAAAAATAATAAAAGATTAAAGAGGCACTGTAAGAGGTTCAATAAAGATGTTCAAATGCACAGCGAAAGACTCTCAAAGCACTAGGATATTAAAACAAAAATTCAACAGAAGCGAAACATAAAATGTAAAAGTTAACATGTGTAAGACACAGATAGATAACAAAAGGAAGAAAACTTTTCAGTAACCAGAAATTTTAAAAAATAATCAGAAGCCAAGAACAGAAGACAGCATTCAGAATTTTAAAGAGTATTACTATAACAAGTGCTGGATGTATAGAGAACAGAAAACAGAAGCCAAAAATGGTGTTGGGTATATAGATAACATAAAAACAGAAGCCAGAATCTGCAACAGAAGCCCCAAAAAACTGGAAAAAAATAACAGTACAATCCTATGCATGCCAACTCAGAGTAAGGCCCATTAAGTTCAATAAAATGTACTATGTAGTAGTAAATACATACTACCCCATGTGGTAAAGTTTAGGGCTGCAGTTTAAATTCAGTCTAAGTCAATGTCTTCCCACCCTTTCCTGGTTCAGGCCTTATACCTGGTCTTGTGAATAAGCGCACACAAGCAGCTGGCCCACAAACACACAGAAACTACTAGGTCAGCCATGCACACAAGTCTGTATAATGTCTCCAATGGTATCCTGGATTAATAAGGTGCATTTATGTAATGTATAGACATTTTTATCCGAAGCATGTGATGTCTGCACAGTCTTCAATGCTCCCCACAGCCATGTAAGACCTTAAGGTAATCAATACAATAAAAAAATATATACAGTGCATTAAAATAAAAACCACATTCTGGCTTTCAGTGTGTTTTTCCCTTTTCCTGTTTGAGTCTGCATGATTGCTTCAGCATTAGCCAAAACAAAACCACTGCATTTTACCTGGCACACCTGCAGATACAAGCCTATGGGAACTGTTTTTCTCAGGACACACAAGCGGAAGGAATTTATTACCTGATGATTCTTCATCCACATTCTCATACTGCAGCAGGCGATCAAGTAGAAAACTGGAAAGAGGAAAAGGCAGAGGAGGTGACATTATCCCAAATACAGCGCAGGGCAAAGAAGCAAAGTCAGTCCACCAGCTGTACTGACCGCTTTTCTGTCCTTTTTCCATCCCTTTTTGCTTTGGCATGGTGCCTTTTCAGACTGCAAGTCTGTGGGCCTGTGGGCTCTTATTAATTGCATGTAAACTGTTCTGGGAGCCTATTCAAACATACCCTGGAACCATGTCATTTGCCTGGGTCTTTCTCCTTCGTCCAAAAAAGGGCAAAATCTGGCTGAGGTTATTCAAGAGACAAAGTCACTCTGCACACACTTGAAGGAGCTTTTCTTTACTCTGATTTCTCACAGTCTAGGACTCTGCACTGGTTTTAAACGGCTTCTGACAGTAAGTGCTGCACAAACGGAGCAGTGGTGCCCTCGCAGATGCAAGCTCCTTGTTTCCTCTGCCACACTCCACACTGTCAGGCTATTATTAGCAGATGTACAGGCAGAACAAGAACAGGTGCAGTTTGCCCTTGGATAATTTGCAACTATGAGGGGAAGTCTAACCTGTTGAATTTCTCCTTGTCATGCAGCTAAGGAGCCAGAAGCCCTGCCAGGGAGCGGCCTTTACCCTACCTTTCTAGGCCACGGTTCCTGCAATGGGTCCACCAACTATTTATTTCCTTAAAGAGGAAGAGAAGGCTCCCAGAGCAGCTTGCATACAAACAGCAAAACGCAAGAGCCCCTGCTCACAGGATTACAATTTGCAAAAGACACAACACACAAGGGGAAACAAGACAGAAAGAGGAGATAACTGAAGTGACTTTTCAGAGCTCCGCTTCCGCTCTGGACAGCCTGCTGGAGCAGCCACTGGGGTGCAGACCCCCTCCCCAAGTGACACCCCCACCCTTCCCTGCCTAGTTGCTCACCTTTTATCCCGTGAAACTTTCAAGAGTTTTCTTTGGGCTTTTCTCAGTTCTTCTTGAAAACATTCTTGCTCCTGCAAAGTGATAGGACAGACTGTAGCAAGAGATCCCTCTACCTCCTCTCCAGTTCGTCTGTCCTCTCCAGGGTGGCCATGCCAGAAGCCAGAGAAAAGCAGCTGCCTTGGATAATAACAGAGCCAGGATACATTAAAGGGCATAAAACAGGCAGTTGCCTTCCCTTCCAGCGGTTTTGCTGTATGGCTCCCATCAGCCCCAGCCAGCATAGCCAGGGATGCTGAGCATTGTAGGCCAAGACATCTGGGGAGACTCAAGTCAGAGGAAGTTCCACTTGAGTCTTTACTCCTCTCTTCTGCTGGCTTTTAACTATTTAATGTACTGCTACTTTGCCAGCTGTTGTGAACTGCTCTTCAAATTGGGGTCGGAATGAGTAAATAAAAGCCTCTGAATGCCTCATGTGCTGCAGGCTTTACAACACCCCTGCAGGGCAAGTCAGTATCATCAGCGCCATATTGCATAAGATCTGCAGGTAAGGAAGACAGAGAGAGAAAGACTTGCTCAAGGCTGCCTAGCAAGGCAGTGAGAGAGAGAGGGATCCAACCCGGGGATTCCTGATTCAAGAAGCCTCTCTTCCACGAGTGAACAGTGTCACCCAAATGCCTAAAATAGTGAGAACTGAAATGTTTCCATTCCCAAATTGGGCTGTTGGAAAGAATGCATGGAAAAAGCAGGAGTGGATAGTTCAGTAAAAGGACTTATGAACTCGGTTCTGCTACTGCTCACAATTTCCCGGGCTGTGCATGTGCTTAGGGGTCACCTGTCACCCAGCAAATGTCCACCTATGTAAGCTATTTTACACCCATCTCTCAGGGCCGTAGATTCCGGTAGATCATGCAAGCCTGAAGCCTGCCCACCCCCGATCTCTGCTAACACCAGCAGAACCTCCAAACTTAGCATGCATCCCTGCTTGGCCTGTTTTGTACAGAAAATGCCCCACTGGCATCAGATGTTCCCCATGGGGAATTCAAATCATCAGGCTGTCCGATTTCAAAATAATCCCAACATGATGGGATTATTGATCAGCTTCATGATGCTCGATCCTCTGTGACACTAATGTAGCACCAACATTTAATAGACAATAGAGTCAGTGTAGGCAAATAGATAATGTTCCATTTAAAATCTCTCTCTTGGAAGAGCCAGTGTTTCTGAAACTCCTTCCTAGCTCTCCAGAAGACACAAAGCACGGGTTGCTAAATGTTTCTTATTCAAGCCACTACCACATGTGCCTGGTTACATCCTACAGACCAAAGTTAAAGAGTCTTTAAACAGGAAAAGTTAAACTACATGAGACCAGGACACCTTTGGGATTGTCTCACCCCTTATGTTCCTGTTTGTTCCCTGCATTAATTAGAAGGAACACTTCTGAGAGGGACACATGCTCCAGAGGTTTGCCTCAGGAGCACTTGTAGTAGAGCATTCAGTGTTCCAGGCCTCCACAGTTCTGCTGTTCAGACATCTTGCCAAAACTTGTCTTTTTACAGAAGTTCTCCTGGAAGTGTGACCCAGTCCGAGTCAGCAGTGTGATGCGGTGGTCAAGAGGGCGAACGCCACCCTTGGTTGCATAGCCAGAAGTGTGGCTTCTAGATCAAGAGAGGTATTACTACCACTCTACACGACTCTGGTGCGCCCGCAACTGGAGTATTGTCTTCTGTATGGGGCCCCTCATTACAGAAAGGATATAGCCAGGTTGGAGTCAGTGCAGCGTAGGGCCACAAGCTTGGTGGCCGGTTTGCAGGGGATGCCGTATGAGGCGAGACTGAGGGAACTGGGTCTCTTCAGCCTGGAGAAGAGGAGACTCAGAGGGGATATGTTGGCGACATACAGGTATGTGAGGGGATGTCACATGGAGATGGGTAGAGACCTGTTCTCCCCTGCAGAGGAAGGCAGGACGCGCCCCAACGGAGCAAAGCTCAGGGAGCCAAGGTTTCGTTTGGATGCCAGGAAGCACTTCCTGACAGTCAGGACCCCGAGGGTGTGGAATGGGCTTCCACGAGAGGTCATTGAGGCCCCATCGGTGCGGGTGTTCAAGGATAGGCTGGACGTGCACATGGTGGGCGTGCCGTGAGCGGAGCCGGCTGGTGCCAGAGGTCAGACTAGATGGCCCAGGAGACCCCTTCTGACTCGCTCTGTTTCTATGTTTGCTCTGGTTTGAAACACACAGAAGTGTTTTGTAGTTTTATTGCCAGTTAATCATAGTGTGTAGCATTTATGTGCTTTCATGCTACTGTAATTTATATTCACAGCTTTCATAGTTTTGTGAAAAACAGTATATGAATCTGAATAAAATAAATGTGGGTTGTAACCAATGCTAATCTCATGTATGTATTTCACTGAGTCTAACTCAAAATAGGATTAAGACTGAATACAATGCTGTATCCTAAAATGGCCCCCAATCTTTTGGATATTTTTTAACCTAGCATAACCTCTGCCCCACTCCCACCCCATTTAAGAATATTAAAGCAGCACTCCTGGATCAGACCAGGGGTCCTTCTAGTGCAGCATTCTGTACACAGGTGACCAGCCAGCCACCACCGCACCTTCCTCCCCATGTTCCCCAGCAAGTGGAGTACACAGGCAAAGAGCCTCTGATACTGGAGGTAGCATACAGCCATCAGGACTAGTAGCCATAAATAACCTTCTTCATTAATCCATCCAGTCCCCTTTTAAAGCTGTCCAAATTGGTGGCCATCACTACATCTTGGGGAATTCAGTGCCACACTTCAGCTATACCTCATTCCTCCTTGTAATCTGTCTTGATTCTGCCACCCATCAGCTTCATTGGATGACCCCAGGTTCTAGTTCTGCAAGGGGGAGAAAATGTCTCCTATCCACTTTCTCTACATACATAATTTGGTACACCTCAGAGGGGAGTTACTTCAACTCCTTAAAGGTTTTAGTTGTCGTTTTCTGCACATGTTCCAACTGTACAATACCCTCTTTAAATATAGTGACCAAACCTGTACACAGTATTTTAAGCACAATCACACCATACACTTGCATGTGAAATCTGATATTGGCAACTTCCTTCCCTAATTATATCTAACAAAGAGTTTATCTTTTTCACAGCAGGCACACACTGTGTCAACACTGGCATCAAGCTATCTATCACAACCCCAAGCTTTTGCCCTAACATGCAGCGATTCACGCTTACTTACCCTCGATTGTATTTGCCATTGTGATGCCCCTTCTCCCAGTTTGGAGAGCCTTTTGCAGCACCCTGCAATCCCGTTTTACCTCCCACCGGCCCAAGTCATTTGGTGCCATCAGCAAACTCAGCCACTTCACTGTTCATTCCTAATTCCAGATCATTTATAAATAAGCTGAAAAGCACTGGTCTCAACACAGATTCCTGAGGAATCCCACTGATTACACCCCTCCCTGGGGAGATTGTACCATTTATTCCTGCTCAGTGCTTTCTGCACTTTAATCAGCTACTGGTCCGTAAGAGGACCTCTCCTCTTATTCCCTTACTGCTAATTCTGCTCTGCAGCCTTCTTGCAGAGCTCCTTCTCTCGCTCCCAAGGGAATTTCAGCCCACGCACCCCTCTCCTTCCAAAATATTACTTCGTCCTCCAGCAGCCCCCTCCCCGCCCCCAACACTCCTCCGGTCCTTACATAAATCAGGAACTTGAGCCTCCTCTTCAAGGCCCTGTAGCGCCTCTTGTAGCCCCCGCCGCCCGGGTCGGGCTCCCCCGCCCCGTTCATGCCGCGTGGGGAAGTCACTCGGGACAGGAACTGAGAGACAAGGAGGCAGAGGAGGGGAAAACGCTGGCGGGGACGAACTACGTCTCCCGGCGTGCCCCAGGAAGGAGCCACAGCAAAGGGAAGCGGAGAGGGACGAAACTACAAGTCCCAGCATGCCACGGGAGGAAAAGAGTGTCGCCGCTAGAGAGCGGCCACGCCTTGTTTTTGCACGTGGCCTTTGGGGGTGTAGTCAACCTTAGTTCTTTTAGAGTAGATGCATTGCGGTGGGTAGGACTAAACACTTTTATGGTATGCCCTGAAGCTATAATCTTGTACTCACTTACCGGAGCGTGAGTAAACAAGAATCGGATGGTGCTGGTTTTAATCCTCTTTTCCCTACGTTTATTTATATCCACCTTTTAAATGCCTATTTTCCCACATTCTTCTCTACCCTCTGTTACCTTCCCTGTTTTAGCCTGCAAGCCCAAGCCCAGAGTCTTTGCATCCCTTAAAAGATAGTCTTAGATGTTCTATGTAAAAGCTTGAAACTCGAGGAATTACTTACTCCATGCATCTGATGAAGCTGGCTAGAGTCCACAAAAAAGTTTATGCCATAATATATGCACTGTTCTTTAACAAATGCATTGTTCTTGTTTTCCTGGATAAGACAATAAACTCTTTGGAGCTGAGACCATTCTAGTTTTGTTGACAGAGCAGTATATACAAATGAAAATAAATGCATAGTCGGGTTGGGTTGGCACAAACCTACGCAACTACTTAATCTACCAAGCTAAATCAGTAGCCATGCATGGGCGACCTAACAGAGGCTTGATATCTTGCCTGTTTGAAATCGCAGCAAAGGAAAACCCATGAAGCTCACCATATTTGGCTTGTTTGGACCAAATCCAAACATAACACAGTGGGAAATGAACTAAATATATGTATTCAAGGAGTTATAAAGCAAGTTGATAAAATTATACCATTTATTGGTAGTATCTGTTGCTCAAAAGATAGTATACAAGCTTTCAGGTAGCATATAACTCATCCTCAAGCTGCATGCAACTGGATGTTTTGGGGGCAAGGATGATGTTCAGCCCAGTTTATCTACCTCTTTGTTCAGTGGAAATAGGATGGAGTAAAGGAAAGGTAGCCTACACCAAATAAAAGCATATAAAAACTGTTCTGTTGAATACAGAACTCCTGGCAAGATGTTCCCAAGCCAACAAAGCATCCTGGATCAGTCCATGGGACCCTACAAAGCCCTCAGGGCAATTTTATGTGTGGTGAGACCTAAACACTCCTCCAAGCTCCCCTCAGGACATATATGCTGAATAATAATAATACAGGCTTGCGATGGAGGTAGTCTACACTCACTCGCAAAGAATGAAGACTATACAGAGGGTGCAAAAAATGTATACGCATTTTAAGAAAGAAAAAAGCTGTATTAAAATTGTAATACTCAATATATACCAATAACAAAAGATGAATCCCCATCTATGGAATGCGCTCCCCAGAGAGGTCCGCCTGGCGCTGTTATTTGTTTTTCAGCGCCAAGCCAAGACCTTTTTATTTAAAAGTTATTTTAATTGTTAATTGATTATGTATTGGGTTTTATATGTGCCAAAATGTCTCCAAAATTTTTATGCCTCCCCGAGGCTTTTTGCGAAGGGGGCGGCATAGAAATGTTTTAAATACATACATACATACATACATACAAGTCATGTTTGACTTTGCAATTACAAGAGGTGCTCAGAGTGGTTACCATCAGTGTCCAGACACTTCTGATTATGACAAACTACTGCTTGAGCAATGCTGACCAAAGTATCTACTTGTATCATTGGACATGTCGTTTCAATTTCTTCCCGAAGTACCGCCAGTGTAGCCCGTACACCGTATCCTTTAAGGTCCCCCATAGGTAGAAGTCAAGGGGTGTTAAGTCAGGAAAACGTGGGGGAAACTCAACTGTACCTCTTCATCCTATCCATTGTCCTGGCAAACTCTTATCCTGGTAAGCTCTCACATCTCGGTGGAAGTGTGGTGGGGCACCATCTTGTTGGAAGTAAAATTGATCATTCCTCAAAAGTGCATGAAGTCCAGTTTAAATGGATGTGCGTAGCACGTCTAGGTACGTTTGACCAGTAATGGTACCTTCAAAAAAGAATGGTCCAGTTAGTCCCCTTACTGACAGTCCACACCAGACACTGAGACCTGGTAAATTTACTTCTTTTTCCACATGAACATGCGGATTTTCTGGAGCCCAGTGCTCACGATTATGTCGGTTCACTGTTCCATTCAACTGAAACTGTGCTTCATCAGACCAAACTATTTTCCCAAAAAGCTTCTCATCCTCTTGTACCATGTTTAGGAACCACTAAACTGTAATACTGTACCCTTCGATCAGAGTCATCTTCATTCAGTGCATGTAATAACCTTGGGATGAAAAAGTTCCATTTTGGTTTTAAGAATGCATCGAAATCTTGTTCTGCTAACTCCTGTCTCGTGCACATTATTCGGCAGACTCCTGTGGCAACCGTGTAAACCGCTCCAACACCATAGCAGAAGAAGCAGAACTTGTTGCTGTGCGAGGCCTCCCTCTTCCCTTGTGCACCTCAAATGCAGTCCCATGCATCTCAAACTTATCACAAATGCATGCAATTGTTAGGCGTGTTGGAGGTTCTGTTGCATATTCACGCCTCTATTGTCGTTGTACTTCCACAAAGTAATGGAATGTCAAATACCACTTCAAAATGGTCTTACACTCCTCAAATGACAACCGTGTTTCTGCCATTTTCTTTGCCTGTCCCACCTGTTGCATGATGACACTGACATTAATTTCATTAAGGCCGTCTTTTCAGCGAACCTCATACTACACATTGCTACCGGAATTAAATTCAACTTCGAAAAGTAATACATAAGTAACATCTCTTAAAATGCGTATACATTTTTTGGCACCCCCGGCATTTCCCATGAAGCCCGGCGACCCTCAGAAGCCGTCCCATTGGCTCGATTCCGATCCTTAGCGGACTACAATTCCCTGGGACCCTGTGGGAACGCTTTCGCCTAAATTTCCCAGCATGCAATATGCCGCGTAACTGCTCTCTCCATTACCTCTCCCTCTCTGGACTACAATTCCTATGAAGCCTTGCAGAGAGTAAAGACTACCTTGGCGGGAAAGGATGGCGGGAGCGGCGGCTGTAGGGCCGCGAGATATGCAGGACTTCGTCAAGGGTCTCTTCCGAGGGAGCCCTGACCTCAGGTGGGTGCTGCCCCTCTGGGCTGGGCGGGACCGGGGGTGGCTTTGAGCCGAGGCGTCTCGGCCCCCTGCTGTGCTGGCGCTGGACCAGGAGCTGGTAGAGGCGTGGACGCACCGCGGCTTGTTCCCCGAGCCTGCGTGCAGCGCCTTGCTGCCGTTTGGGATGGGAGTCCTATAAACGCCGTAAAGATGAGAATGACGCCGAACATGTGCAGAATACTTTTGCTTGTTTCTTTGCTTGTTGACTCTCCCCTGAAAGGGAGCCACACAAGCGGCTCCCCGGCATCAGGGATGATGGGTAGAAAGCCCTTTAGTTCTTTGAGTGTGACTTCCAAGGAAAAATCGCTTTTGTAGTAACGATAATAGATTTAAATGGTCGCCCGAAAATACACGTTTCCTGAGTAGCTTACGAAACAGAATTAAATTCGAAATAATAAACTACCTCCCTGGAAAAAGGATCAAAGTGAGGTGGTGGACTATGGTGAAGGAAACCTTGACGCACTTTAGCCACACCTGTGAGGTGCCTTTTCTGTACGTGTACAGTTTGATGTCATGATATGTGGTTGTTCTGTTGGCACCCCCTGCCTCACCATCATGACGGTCTTTTCCAGCATCCTCACTCATGCCATAGTGCGGAAGAAATATCTTGTCCATGTTGGGCAGGAGAGTCTAACTAAAGAGGAGAAGGAGCAACTCAAACGGCTGGTAGAGGAACAACTGCTCCAGATGAAGGTGCAAGCAAAGCTATGGGGAGAGGGGGCCCGCCCTTCCCTTGGGGAGCTAGCTGGGAGACCTTTGGGAGGAGAGGAAGGGTGTGTTGCGGCCTGGGAGGCAGTGGAAAGGATTTCACTAGCAAAAGCGAAACAGCCTTTGTTTATCTTTATGGAATCACAGGCTGATGATTCTCCAGGTGATGGAGAGTTAATGACTGAAGGCCAGGCTGCTGGGAAATCTGGAAGCCACAAAAGACTCCGTTGTACATCCAGTAGTTCTGACGGTGAGGTCAAAAGCAAACAGGAGCAGAAGAAGCAACGTACCAACAAGAAGTTGGGTAAGTGATGTGTCTATAAATGGTGCACACCACCTCAGATGCAAACACTCCCTGAAGTAGTTTAGTCACTTAAGCAGAGAAAAGAGCTGTAAGACTGGTTTCCAAGTGATGGACCAGCTTTCATGAAAGGTGCTTGACTTGTGTTGTTAGCCTTTCCCTGCAATGCACTGCTGCTTCTGAATATTACCTTTCTTTCTTTGTGACTGTGGTGAAGTCTCTGATTTTATAATAAATGGTGCAAAGAAATGCTTCTTTTTACTGCCATCTTTTCTATTTGAATGGCTTGTTGGAATGAAACTACTCTGTGAAGAGTATTATCAGGCAATGGAGGCAAGTCAGTAATCTGCTGCAATCAGTTTCAATTTTTTAAAAGCCATTTCATGTATCTTCCACTAAGGATGTCCCCCAACCAGCACTAACCAATCCCAGACTTGCTTGGGACTGGCCTTGATTTAATAAAATAAATTTTAACATGTACAAATAGAAAAAAATGGCCATTCCATTTGATAATAAGATGTGTATGTCGCTAGTTACATTGAAAATTATATTGTCCCTAATGAAAACTGCCTCCTTCCTCCTGGATCTATCCATAAAGATACCTTTATGAGAGTATGGAATAGGCAGGTGTTGATTTAAAAGGACTAATCTAGAATTTCACAAAAGATACAGCTTTTCCTGGGATTATACCACCTTAGAAAACAAGTTAAAATGTTCCCTTAACATGAAAAATATATCCATGAAAATATAATATGACAAAGAGTGAGGAGGAGGTTACCCTTACCTTCTCCTGGGTACTAATTTTCTAAAGACATAATCTTTAGAAAACATTCTACAATTCCTAGCATTTCCCCAAGCAGCTCTGCTGGCTGGGACATGCTGGAAGTTGTTGGACACCTTTTCATCTAAACATGTATAGGACTGTGCCCTAATTATGAGGAGTATCTGATGCAAGAGGAGCATTCAAACATGTCCCCCCACACACACACACACACACACACACACATTCTGAAGCGAGATAGTCCCACTTTCATGCCATTCCCACTGTCAAACATATCTCTTGGTGGATGGGTCCCTGTTCTGCCTTAGAAGTCCCAGTCCTTGGAATATGTAGAAAATGGTGATTGTGGAAGAAGAGATGCTCTGGACCCTCTCCAGAGATGCTTGCCTGGAGCCTGCCTTTGAGACGCCAATTCAAAATGATTGTTTGCCTGAGCAAAACAATCATCTCTGCTTTTTCATTATTTTATTGATATTATTCTAGCATTGTACTTCTTATTCTATTTTGATTATTGTTCTTTTTTGTTAATTTTGGTTTTATGGTCAGAAGGCTCCTTGAACTTGTATTTTAGATGGGATAAAAGTAACTTTCCCAAATTGCTATGCAGGAAAGTCAGATAAGAGCATAATCGTCAGAGTGAGTTATCCTTTGTTCTTTGCTTGATCTGCTCTGTCAGCACTGATGCTGTTTGCTTGTCCACAGACTGTTGTTACAATAAGACCTGCACGAAATTAGAGCTGCCCCCCTCGAGATCTGTCATGTCTTTCACTGTCACTTTTATCTTCCAGAAGTCAGTTCTGATGAAGAGGATTCTGGGATTGATTCAAAGAAAATACCACTCCATGGTAGACAAAAGCATGCTCCAAAATTTTCAAGCTCCTCTGACCAAGGAGATTCTGGAGCAGAAGGTCACACTGACGGATCTGGAAATAACTGGCAAAGTGCAGGGAACAAAAGAAGGGAGAAGCGAAAGGCCAACAAATCAGCCCAGAGGCTCCATGTTAGAAGACAGAAGGACAGGTCTGAGAGTGAGTCAGAAGGAGTCACAGATGAGCAACAGAGTGATTCTGAAGAGATTTCAGAAGACAAGGGTGCAGCAAAAGGTGAAATAATAAGCTTCGAGAATGAGGGAATACTGAGACACTGTAAGACTGAGAAAAGCAAAGGATGTGACAAAGAAGGAAACCTGCCTGGTGTCCAAGGCCTAGTAAAGGACAGAAAGATAGGCAAACAAAAGAGAACAAAGGAGTGTGAGTCTGAAGAAGATGGTGAGCCATCTAAGGTGAAGAAAATAACTGGGAAGAAAAGTGAGAGTGAAGAGGAGAGAAGTGGCATCAATAAAGTTAAAAAGCAAACTTGGAAGACTCAAGTGGAGAGTGAGGATGAAAGGAGGAGTGGCGCAGAGGAGAGGCCCAGGATGCCAGGAAAAGTAGCAAACCCTAAACAAATAAGGAAAAGTGGAAGTGCAAAGGAATTGGGAAGCCATTCAGAAAACAAGAGGCAACCTAAGCAAGGAGGGATGAAGAAGACACACAGGAGGAATATGAGTGGGAAGGTACTGGCAGATGAACAGGAGGTGAAGAAACAAGGGAAGCCCAAGGCAAGTGTGAGCAGTGAAGAATCAGAAAGCGAGATAGAGAAATGTCAGGGCTTGGAACAAAAAAAGAAAGGAATGCAGAAACCCAGCAGCAGTGAAGATGATGCAGAGAGTGGAGTCGATGAGACGGGGAAGAGTGAAAGCAAGGCCAGGAGGATCTCTCTGAGCAGCAATGAATCTGAGAGTGGAGCAGAAGAAAGTGAAAGTGGTAATCAGAGAAAGAAGAGAGTTCTTGAGAAGAAGAGCAAGGCTGTGTCTGGGAGCGAATCTAGCCAGGAGGAAGAATTACCCAAAAAGAAGGGAACACAGAAGTCCCAAATGAAGGTGGTCAGTAATAGCCAATCAGATACTGATTCTGAGGACTCTGGGAATGAATTGGTGGTGAAGAAAAACTGTCAAGGCCAGCAGAAAGCAAGAACAGGGAAGCCCCAAAGGAAGAGCAGCAAGGAAGAATTAGAGAATGAATCTGTTAAGGAGGAAGAGAGCTCTAGTTCTGAAGATGAAGAAAACTCCAGTTCTTTCAAACAGCGGCATACAGGAAAGGTGAGATGCTGCTAGTTTGGTGACTTAAAATATCAGTGGTTCACTGTAGTTCACAGACATGGCTTATCCTTCTCTGCCCCCAACAACGCATGTAGATTTTCCAACTGCTAAATCAAGCTGTTGCATGTAAAGTAGTAGGTTCTGAATATTAACATGCTAGTGTATATTTAACAGGGCGGAGGAGTGTCATTGTGAATGAATATGATTGCATCACTGCAATTGTTTGGGCAGCCTTGTTTTGGAGAATAGGCATATTTAGGGCTCAGCACTTTAGAATAAATGGCCAGTGCAGCCCTTGGGGCAAAGAAGCCAGCCCATCCTTACTCAGTCTTGAAGCTGGTTGCAGAGTTAATGCAGATGAGCAGAAGCTGCCCTGAGAGATGCAGCTGCAATTGAAGGGCAGAGTACATATTCTGTAAGTAAAATAAACAAAACTTCACCCATATGGTGACCCATTTCACAGTACAAGTGTGGAATCAAGTGTCAAGAATGCTGTCTGCTACAGAAAAATTAAGCATACAAAAATATTATGATGGCGGCGGTGGGAAGATATCTAGAAACTTCTCCTTGGCTCAAAAGCTAGTGTGGGAAATATTTATTTTAATTTCCATACAACCCAACAGCTGAAGCTCTCTGGGCAGTTCACTTTTAAAAGACAAGGTGGCTGGTCCAAAGTCACCAAGTGAGCTTTGTGGTAGAGAGGGAACTAGAACCCAGGGCTCTTGAAAGTCCAGCCATCTAACCACTATGCCAGTTCTCATTTATGAGGGTGAGAAAGGGAGTAAAATTATCTCTGCTTCTTTATGCACCTGTTAGGATTGGATGTTCATGCAGCCCACTGTTCTTCCACCTGGCCTGACTGTGAGTCCTGGCTCATGTGATCGGGGAGCAGGCAGAAGCAAGCTGCAAAAAGAGAGTTAGAAGGTTATGAGAACCTTCAGCTCCTCAGAAGTATTTTTACTCTCCACGTATCGCAGAGATTGTCAGGGCCACAGCAATTTCCCATCATGACATAGCAGTGAGGTAGAAAAAAGTCAGTCTTAGGAAAAAAGTAGATTCCCCCCTCAAAGTTATAAATAAAATATTAAATTTCTCTGTAACTTAATATATAACATAGGTGCAATTAAATCACATCATAAACCTGCTAAACCTACATTTAAATCCCATAAAATAGAAATTACCTGCCAATCAAACAAAGGTGTTAATTTCAGATTTTCATTGCCTGAAAATTGTTCTGTCTCACCTAGTTAACACTTTTTGTTTCTGGAAAGTTCCCTGACTGAAGTCAAATGTGAAGAGACACAGGCTAGATAGAATTGTCACGTGGTGTGGGGGTTAGATGCAGCAGGGCAGAGGAATTAGTTAAGACATAAAGACAGTATTGCAGGGTGGATAAAATCCATGCTTTAAAAACAGATTTTAACTAATTTAAATTAGTTTAAACCATAACTATCAAGTCTTTGACCCTAACGGTTATGAGCATTTTGTATTTGTCTACTACTTGGTTTTCTGTGAGGGCAAAGATGGATGACACAAGGATAAGCAGGAAAAAGCAGCAGCAGAAAGAAGGTGGAAAGGCAGAACTGTTCAGCATGGATCTCTTTGTTTTCTCATAAAGATTACAGCGCTAAACACATTAAACTCTATGGGTGGGTTTGGATGCCACACTAAGGCACCCTGCTAAAAAGCATCATGGATAGGTTATTCACTGAAGGCCAGTCATTCATACTTGCTGTGACTTGTTCCTTCCTCATTTCCTCTCCCCTCCATCTTCCCACTGGCTCCGGCACATGTCCCAGGCACTGATATGGCAGATTTCTTTGTTCCAGCAGTCCCTGCATCAGCAGCCTTTCTGCAATTGTCTGCTGGAGTTGCTGGCTATCAAGAGACACCCCACTCCCGCAGCAGAGTGTCAAATAGAATTGATCTTTAGAACCCTTAAAAATATATAGGAATGTGTTCAGCAGCTTTTCTTCACCTGGGGAATGTTACTGTTTGTGCCATAGCCATATTTGGAGCAGCATCCAAATACCCCTCTCTTGTTCATTCCATCTGCCATTGTGGAGGTAGCTTTTTTTAAAGGCTGCTTCAACTTTACACTGAAGTAAGACTACTCACCCACAAAGCATTTTCCACTGCAGCCACTTTTGGCTCCCTACCTCCCTTCCTGCTTGTTACCATTCTTGGCTGCTAGCAGTCACATCTTGATATCCCTAATTTTTAGGGGGATGAGGGAGAACAGCATCGGCATGAAATCACAAGGGATTTGCTGCTTTGACCAGATGACCTTCTAGCTGCTCTGGATATTCCACATTAAAATCACCTTGCCATGTTTAGACAACAAAATAAACCACCATGGTTATCAACCACCCTAAAATAAGCCAAGGATTTGTAAGATTTGTAAAAATAAACCATCCTTAAGAAACCTCTGGGTTCATCTGACAAGGCTGATCACTCATGGTAGGTTGTCATGTGTGAAACAGGTCAGTGGGACTTATTTCGTAGAAGATATGAATAGGACTGGGCTGTTAACCTCAAACTGTCATGGTTGTTGGTTATGAGAAATGCCGTATAGAAACCTGTTAAAGCTATTCTGTTGTGCATGCACATTCTGGCAAATTTCAGGGGCAGGCATGAGAGGCTGACTGTTTTGGCTGGTCTGACAGCTCAGAGCCTGAGAATGAGATGTATGCAGGGGAGTTAGCCTATCCTGGCAGGACTGACAGCTCAGTCTTTGCTAATGAGATGATTGTTGAAACTGACGCAGTTCCAGGTGCAGTCCAAGGCCATGGGCCTGTGCCTGCTATGGGAGAGATTGTTTCAAGGGCAGCCAAGGGGCCTAGTCAACCTGCCCGTGGGAATGAGCAAGAGCAACAGCATCTTGGGGGATGAGCTTTAGAGAAGGGGAGTTTAATCAGAGGGGGAACTCCTGATAGTCCATTATCACAGTTGTAGTGTGGCCCACTTGGGTTCTCTGAAGGAGGAACACAGGGATGCCAGTTTCCACAGCACTCCTCTCCCCAGGGACAGACACAGAAGGAGTCATAAGGACAGCTTTGGGTGAAGAATGCTGAGGGTTCAACATTTCACTTTGTGTATGCTCAGAGACTTGCATGTAAAATAAAGACATTTGGCAAAGAAGTGCTTGTGAGACTGTTACTGCTGAGAGAGAGAGAGAGAGAAACTCAGCTGCCCTTAAACTAATCTCTCCCATAGCAGGCACAGGCAAGTACCCAGGCCCTTAGGCTGCAGCTTGAACTGGGTTCATTTCAACAATCATCTCATTTTCAGAGTCCGAGCTGCCAGTCTTGCTAAGATAGGCCAATTCCCCTGCACACATCTCATTCTCAAACTCTGAGCTGCCAGTCCAGCCAAAATGGTCAGCCTCTCATGCACTGCCTCTGGAGCTTGCCAGAATGTGCACACATGACATCTTCCTTCTGGGGGTAACAGGGAAAGCATGCATAATATATATGGTGAGACAAAGAGATGCAGAGCATCCTTTTAAAAAGAAATGTGGAAATAATACTAATTGCAAATTAACATGGCTTATTGGCCAGATTTGCACCATTATTCTGGAAAATTTAGTGGGAACCTTGTTTTCACATTTTTCATGCTGATTTAAATCAATGCACCTTGCTCTTGCAGGGTCAGTGTTGCAATTGTTCAAGTTCAAACAACGCAGTACAGCTCATCAGGTGTTGTTTAACCCATGCTGTTGCATGTAAAATCCCTGCCCGAGGATTGTCGTGTCACACAAATCTGGTCAGTGTGCGTTATGTGAGGTTTAAATGACAGACTGTGCGTTATGTAATGGTAGTTTAACCCTTGTATAACCTATTCTCACAGAGATCGAATGGCACAACAACAATTGCTGGAATTGTATAACGTGGCATTTTGCTGTATGATAAGACATGTGGGTTTATTTAAAAATAAATTTTTGCATGCTATGATGAAAAGTTCTCTGATCTTGACCTTTCTTCCCATCTCCCAATGGCTGCAGGGCAAAGATCATAATTCTGGGAAAAGGGAAGAGCATTCTTCCGTCCAGCGCTTGAAGCGCTACATTCGGGAATGTGGTGTGCACCGGAATTACAAGAAGCTGCTTGCAGGTTGCCGCTCCCGCAAAGCTCAGGTGGAGGTGCTCAAACGGGAGCTCGAAAACCTTGGCCTGAAGGGTAAAGTAGTGAAAGTCAGAGCATCCAGCAGCAATGGGACAGGCAGGGAACAGCTGTATGGGGTGCAGGTGTTAGGCTAAGCAACTCTGTGCTGTGTTCTTCTGCCAAATATCCAAAATTCTGTGCCCAAGGAAATCCATGTTTAAACCCCAAAAGATGTGAATTCTGCAACCTATCTGTTTGAACGATGTTCACACAGCAATTTTCAGTCATTCTTTTCAAGACCAGTAACTGATTCTGTGCTCACTGTGGGGAGGATTATGGAAAGGAGCATGGAGGACCCCTCAACCAAGGGGAATCCAACTCCATGCCTCTTAATTCTGAAACCCCATCCGGTGCATTCCTGGCCCTGACTTTATAACAGGGATGAAGAAGGCTGATGGACTGCAGCCCCCATCAGGTTTTACCATTGTGTATACCAGCTAGGGTTGGTGGGAGTTGCAGTCCAACAGTATATGGAGGGTTCCAGGTTGCCTGCCTCTTCTGTAACCTTGAAAGCTAGAAGCTTGCTTTTTAAACAGTAGGAATAATCCAGAAATCCACTGTAGAAAGCTGCTTTATACAGGCAGAGCATTGGTCATTCTTACTCAGTACCAAACAGCTGTGACTTGCCAGGGTTCAGTATAAGGGTCTGTCTTGGGTTTATTTGGAGATGTCAGGAACTGAAAGAGCTCTGCTTCTGAGCGACACCTCTTCCCTCAAACTGAGCTGTTTTCCAGTTTCTCTCACCCCTATTCTCTGGTTTGCAGGGTGTAGATGCATTAGAGTGAGTTTTGGTTTGCAAGACAGAAGGAGCTGGCTTTTCTCATTGCTCTATGCCTGCGTGAAGCTGTTGCTGTTTAATTTCTGCCTGTTGTGCAGCTTTTAAAGGCATTGGCCCTCTGTCGGGGAAACGAGAGGCAGCCCTTTTTGAGAATGTAACCAGTTCTGCATCTAGAATTCCAAGCACTGGAGAAGGCTTGTCCATGTGTCTCACTTTTTGGCCTGTATCTTTCCTCACCTCTTCTTAGGGACGCCATCTCTAGCCAAGTGCAAAGCCGTGAAGCAGAAGCGTGAAGAAGCAGCTGAGGTAGCTTCACTCGATATCAACAATATTATCACCACAGAAGGTAAAGGGAGCTTGATGGGGAGAATCAAATAGAAGGGGGTTGCCTAGTGATGCAAGAGTTCAGGTTGGGAATCCAGAAGCTTTCAGAAGCAAACTTCTAGTTTTCTGCTTTAGTTCTCTCTGTGCATTTGGTCCTGTCTCCCTCATGTCGGTGAACAAATGCAAAGCTGAGAAATGGTTCATGATGTACTTCCTTTCAGTTGACTTTCTGAGAGCCTATGCTAATAGTAGGATAGATCTCATTTGAACTCAGTCAAATAAGATACAAAAAGATGCAAATCCTCAGATTAACATCACTGATTTTCCAGCTCTAGTTTCCATTTTTACTTATGCACTGGGGGGCAGGAAGAGACCAAAGGGCATGAGAATAAGAAAGTCACCTTTCAGTAATGAATGTGTGTGTGTGTGGTCTTGATGGGAGTGGGGGGACAAAGTGGGTATTGCATCAAAGGGGCTTTGTGAAGGCCTAGAGTGAATTTGCTTGGAAGTCATGCAGAAAGGAAAGATGGCTGTATTGGCCATAAGCAAAATTCCAAAATCAATATTAGTGTACCAGGTAAAACATCAGTAGAAGCCAAATTGTGTAACTTTACCTAGTAACTGGAGAGGACAAACCCTCAGAAAATCAGGCCTCAGCCTCAGTTGAGTAAAATCCTTATATGCTGTCTGAAACTCAACAGCATCTCCAAATTTGTTAATCTAAAGACAGTCTCTCTCTATTCCTGCTGCCAAAGGAACTTGTGTTGCTTCACTGAAGAGGAAGTAACCTTCAACAGCTGAGTAAACAGCTGGGTTTTTATTGGTGCATCAAATGTTTTATTGGTGCATCAAATCAAATGTTCCTCCAAGCAGGCCTAGGGGCAGCTTCAGCAACTCCAGGTGAAACCATCACATCACCTGCTGGAACCTTATTTGAGTAGCTGCAGACTCTTCTTTTCCAATCCATCTCAAGACCTCTGGTCATGCAGGTCTCATGACTTCAACCCCAAGTCTGGAGATCTTGAAAGCGTCCATTTTTTTGTGATCTTTTGATTGGCCACCTAAAGGATATTACACTAATGGTTTTGGCATTTTGCTTTGAAGGATTTGAGTTGTTTGTGGTGGAGGCAAAACAAGCAGTTTGGTCCCTAGAGGCCTATGGGTACTCGACAAAGAAGGGTCATTGTTGCAGCATGTTCATGAAACTGTCCTCTCTCCCCCACTCCCTCCCTGCTATGCAGGCCGCCCAAGGCGTCGCAACGTCTGGAGTCTCTACAGCAAGCCTCTGGAGCCGCCCAGCTCCCCAGAGGAGCCTCCAGTCCGTCGTCGTGCTACAGACTGGTCCCACCTTCGCGGGGTCATCAGCTCTGATGGGGAAAGTGATTGACTCTGAGGTGGAGGGAGACTAAGCATTTATGGATCCTTTGTTGCCCTAGTTTTGAGGGGAAATGTGGGTTCACGTAGCTTGACAACCTAGAGGGCTGTGTTCATAACCCATTTCCTTTTCTGCTCAACATGTAAGAAAAAAGACCTTTTGAAAGCTGCTGTTAGTTTTTCCTTTTACCAGGAAAAAGGGAGGGCATAAATGTCTCTGCTGAGCCAAATATTTGTCCCCCAGGCAAATATACCTGCTCTTGAGAAGGAGATCAAAGAAAGGGAGATCAGGCATTTCTTCAGATATCTGAGTTCTTTAAATACTTTTATTTTGCCCCTAGTTTTATCTTATTGAATATCCTTAAACAAGAATGCAAACGAGTGCATGTTGAAAGGAATGTGTTCATTTTATGTATATTTTGGGACCCCGCCACTTTCCATGTTTTTGAGGCATTTTCCCCATTTTTCTTCAGCACAGCCTAGAGGAGGAGTCCTGGTTCGAGATGTCATTGGGGTAGGTGGGGGTGGATGTGCCCCTGTGACATGGAGCACATTGAATGGTTCTTGTAAATATGATGTTTCAGATATTTTATGGTTGAAAAGTAATGTGTTTATATTTGTTTAAATAAAAAACCTTTTAGACTTCAGTGTACTAGAATTATTTAACTGAAGCCCAGTCCATTCCTCCTCCCTGTTGTAGCACCATGTTCTTCTTGAGCATGTGTACCTTTCTTTCTAGAAAACTTCACCAAAATCTGGCATGGAATCTAGATTAATAGAGATGTTGTATGTCCTGTAATTTTACCTTAAAAGGACACATTTCTAAATCTCCTGAAGCAAAGGAGCCTCAGCTGCTTCATTTGTTTGTGCTTCCTCACTACAGGAGTGCATGCACACAACACAACCATGTGGGGCTTTCTTGTCTGCAGGCAGCAGACTGTGGTCCAATTCTTCATGGCCACACTGTCACGGGGACAGTCCAAGGAAAATGGCTTCCCTAATGCTGGATGTTTGTGCCAAAGGGACTCACTTATTTTTCTTCGCAGCCTGCATTTCGACTCCCTGGATTAGATCCTTGAACAGTTCACTTGCCCCACACATCTCGTCCTATAACTGCAAACTTTCTATGTATTAAAGGTAATTAGGATGTTATTTCTGAAAGGCTGTTAACTGAGGCCTAATAAAACATGTAGCTGGAGAGCCATGATGGAAAAAAGCTCAGCTAAGTTAGGAGTATGTTGTGGGTTTCTTGCTACAGCAAGTGCCTCGCCTTTTGATGCATACAGTGGGCTGCCTCATTGAAAGGTTGATAGACAGCATCCCATCAAAGCCCCCGCATCTCTGCCTTATAAAAAGCTGCTTCATTCCAGGTTGGGCTTTTGGTGTATATAATCCCACATTGTATCCTGCAGCCTTCCCCATCCTAGTGCCTTTCAGCTGTGTGGGACTATCAGTCCCATCATGCCTAGCCAGCATGTCTCTCCCAGACCCTTTCATTTTTATCTTCACATATCTCATGAAACCTTAAAAACCAAGTAGGCAAGAACATTGCAGGAAACAGCTCATTAACATATTTTTATTAAGATCTCGTGTCATTGAACTGAAGCCATAAGAAACTCTAAGTTTAATTAATATAGAGATTTTTCTTTTTCTTTTAAACCTCTAGTATGTACAAAGTATACACAACTGCAGAGGCATTCGCAAATAATATATACACCACTTGAAAGGAAGACCAGCTTGTGCTCAGAGCCCTGTAACAAAGTTCCTTTTTAAGGTTAGCAGTGGCTGTGATTGTGGGTCTCAACCTGCAAGTCCCCATCATTTTGCAAAGAGGCTATATTCTCTAACTGCATGACCCTTCAGTTAGCCAGTGCTACATTTGGTCTTAGAATATTTATCCCTTTATTGTATGTTAGTCACCCCTTAAGATGCCAGCAATTTGGGCAGATTAAATGTACAATCCAGTGCAAGTTTAGTCAGAAAAGGGACTACAACTCAGGCTGGCTGGGAGTTGTAGGCCCTTTTCTGTCTAAAATATTTGTGCCCTTAGAGACTTCTCTAACTGGATGGGTTTGGGGGCCTAATTCTGAAGAGTGAAAATGCTGGTGTGTAAATAGAAGTTGTTTCCATTCCAGCCTCATATCCTCCTTTGAACACCACTGCTTGAATGGCAGGAAAAAGTAGAATATACGGGAATACACAAACCACCAATGTGGGTGTGATATACTTGTTTTGGAGTCTAGAAAATGCCTCTATGACCTAGGGCCTCCCTGACTAGCCTGTCCCTACTCCATATTCTCACTCATACCAAATTTGAGGGATATTTTTCAAAATCACCCCCTTTTTTGCAGCTCTTCATACGATAACAGTCAGTTGCTACTAAGTTTGACAAAGGGAACTCACAAATAGTTTTAGTCTACAAAAGAAAACCTCAGATTCCCATCAATGTTTCAAGGGGGTGGTTCCCCCAAGAAATGGTATTTTCAAAGTTTCATAGCACTGTTGCCAAGATGGACCTCAGAAGTAATAATGTGAAACTGGGTCTTCAAGGTCTCATTTGGAAGACTCGAAGTCCAATTTTCTATGTAATAATGATACCCTATAAGAGATCACAATTTTTCCCCAAACAGAAGGGTTATCTATTCCAGTTTATTCATGGTTACCAGAGGGAGGGAGTTTTCTGCCCTCTGGTATAGAAAACTTTCCCGAACTGCCTGGTTTTGTGAAGACAACATTTGTGCAATTAACAGCCTAGAGCTGTGCTTATGTATTCTTCAGGAAACCTCAAATTTCAAGGGGATTCAAAATCCACATACAAGTGACAGAATAAGCGTGAAGCTTTCTGCCACTGAAGCAATCTCTTTCCAGATAGCACAATGGTCTACCAGCTGTGGTCCCTGGATTTCTAGAACTTTCTTGCTCACCTTGCCCAATACGCAGAGGCCTGGTAGGAAATTGCTCTAAAGAACCAATGGAGGCTGAACCTGCACAAGCAAAATACATTCTTTGTTCTGGGAAAAAAGCAGCACTGTGAAACTGGCTAAAAAAGCACTCTTTATAATCACAACACTATGACAAATGATTAGCATTCTAGAAATACTTATGCTTACTAGGGTGGCACTTAAAAAAAAAAAGAGCTTGTGGAGCCCAAAAGTGGAGGTACAATGCAGGTACTCATAGCAACTTCTTCACAACAGGGCTCTCTGTTTAAAACTTCATTAATCAGTGAGGATTTAAAATCTAATAGCCTGCATCCTTCAATAACTCCTTTAAAGCAATCCAAGAAGTGCACCTACAAAGTTAAGTGACAAAAATTAGAAACCTATTCCACCAGGATGTTTGTCTCCCCATGGCTTCGCCTGAGAAAGCAGTCAGGGCTTCTAAGGGCAGTTTGGGGCCTACACCATTTTGAAATACTTAGCACAATACTTGAGTTTTGACTGAAAATGTGATGAGCTCTGGGTAAACTTCCCCCTTCAACATCACAGTTTTGTCAGAAGATCTTTGACTGGAAGTTCACTTTCCCTTAGACTAGAAAATGTCCTCCATTGAGCATATCTTAGGTTTAACTCATCGGACATTAACTTTCTCCCTGAAAGTGCTGCCACACTATTTTTGTCTGTTGCTTTGTAGCATTATTTTAAAATAGACATATTATTGCCTATCTCTAGTGACAGCTTTCCTCAGGAGGATTTGTTTTCATATTTAGAAAACTGCCCTTCCTTTGCTCCCCACACACTGTCAAAACCCCACCACAATTAATTTTGTTCCTGAGGGAAGGGGAGATGAAAGGGCTCAGCTTTTGATACTGAATGGTAATCCCTAGTTTTAAAAAATCCCCCCTTCTTAGTGCCATTCATCTCTTCCAGCTTCAAGTGGGCTCTCTTCTGAGGTAATATTAAGTCAACTCCTCTCTTTTCCACACAAGTTTGAATTTCCCTGGGCTAGAACAGTGTACAAAAACAATAGTATTCATGACACCCATGGGCCATATTGCAGCTTGCTCAGTGAAATCTATTGTATTAAAAGGCTCCATCTGTTTTCACGAGCTGTCATCCTCCATCTGCTGCTGGAAGTTCTGCCATCTTCAGCTTGACTTCTGGGTCCTTATTGATTCAGCAGTCCTTGATTCTTGTGCCTCTGGAGCCATAGTAACACAAATTTCTATCCCCTTAGTGCTTAAGTTTCACTCCCTGAGCGGGAAAGTGTATTGTGTTTATTAAAAAAATAAAGTAAACACAGGCCCTGTTGCTGGAAAGTGGTTCTAAGGCTCTATCTTCAAAAAGATGGTTTCTTCTCTTCTTCCTCACTAAAGGAAGATTAATTTATTTTGACTTTGGAGCCCCTGCTTTAGGTAGAAATCTTTACAGCCTATACTTTGTTTTGAACCATCCTTCAAATATAAGCAAAAATATAAGTTCTTAGCAATATTCGTCATGGTGGCATCAAACACCAAAGTCTGTCATACTGAAATGTCCAAGCAACTCAAGTCTTTTCCATGATCTACTCATATTGCAAGGTCTTACAAATAGACTACCATTACAGAATTTCTTAGTGATGTCCACCATGCTGGAAGCTCTTATTAAAGGTCCTAACATGGTGTGACATTTTGACCCTAAATCCAAGCAACCCACCACCCAACCATTTTCCCAAAGTTGTCCAATGTCTATCTTAAGTTCCACAAGGGCACCAGCCCACGGGTCTCCTTTTCATAGACATCTGGGATCAACCCAATGGGCGAGGGCACCATCTTGACGGTGTTCTTGCCAAATAGCTTGCGTTCATACTCAATGAGTTGTCTCCAGAAGCCTACATTGGGCCTTACAACAGGACGCCTGCTCTTCACCCATTCATGGGCATCTAAAAGGCTCAACCGGTGGTACTTCATTAAGTAGGCAATACAGAGGGAGGCAGATCTACTTACACCTGCCACACAATGGACAAGGGTTCTTCCATTCTTCTTCCCAGTCTGATGTATCCTATCAGCCACAGAATCGAAGTACAAGGACAGTGGAGCATGGGGGAGGTCAGGGACGGGCACCTTGACATAGTCAATATCTGGCCAGTTGGCATTGGGGATTTCCATGGTGGCATTCACTATGCAAGTCACTGCCCTCGAGTAGACCATGTGTCTGTTGGATGCAGCATTGCCAGAGCAGAGATAGAGGCAGGGGGAGATCTGGGCGATGCCTCCTAAGACGGACAAAGTATTCCCAGCCGTGGGAGTTGGTTTGGCCACAGAAGGGGGCGGAGAGCGGCGGAAGAACCCATGGTTCCGGAAATTCATGGTGGATGGTTCAGCATACATAACAGCTGTTGGGGAAGAAAAGAGACACAAGTCTTATGACTTGGTGTACCTCAAACAGAATTCAAGAGCAACATCTGATTTTCTAGTTCTCTCACTTAAAGAGGCTTGTACCCAGAACTGCCATACACCAGACAGCAAAAGTTCCTAGGCCCTGATTTGGTCCCCTTTTCTGATACCTCCCCACCTGCTGCCCCATCCACAAGGATGCAGAATCAAAGCCAGTGGATGTGCGATTCAGGGAGACACTGGATGAAGTTAGAAATTACTTTTAGATGAGTCAGAAAAATGGACAGAATTATTTGATGAACATTATGATACACAGGACAACAAGGCAGATGAACAGACAGAGCAAAGTGAGAAGGCAGATGAGTTAATAAGTAAACGAAGGCACGCAAGATGGATACAAGCAGACAGATCAGCAAGTTCTACCACCAGGCAAGGCAAATGCGTCCCAATTTCCTACCTCTGTCATTCCTTCAGAACTCCCTAACAGCTGCGTGCTCTCATCCCGTGAGCACCCTGCGTGTGACGGGGAGGGCGGAGGGAAGGAGCTAGAAACTGTGATGCTGCAGGAATGATGCAGAGGAGCAGGATGATGGAGACGATGGGAAAATGGAGGAATAGGGGAGGGAGAGGACAGCCTCTTAAAGGGGCAGTGGAGTTTTTACTGGCCCCTGGACTCTGCCCACATTGCTCCAGCACCACACGAATTTGGAAGCCACCTCCTTCACCCATCCCTTTACTCTCACAGCAGAGGCTCAAAATGGGGAGCTCCTGATGCTAATTTGAGACTCAGCCCTGTACTTTGTGATTACTGGTGCCTAGGCTGGTGTTCATCCATTATACACAGAGTGACAGAGAAAAATAATATTTGTATTCAATTGTTCCCAATTGTTTTGCTCTCTCATCCCATACATCCGTTCTCTAATGTAATTATTGCACTCGTCATACCTCCAAAAAACACATCAAGATGCATGGAAAAACCCTTCCCAAAATATAATAAAACCAACCAAACGAGTATATTCTGATCACTAGTTTGTCCTGGCAAGAGACTATGGACCTCACTGGGTTTACCAAGATATTTTTGGATGCAAGTATACTAAAGTGTTTATTAATACATTCATCAAGAATTGTACTGGATCAATGTGATGTGATGTTGCCCAGTAAGATCTTGGAAAACTCTTCTGGATTTTGCTTGTTTCTTACTGGGGAATTGGAGAGTCTTACTTAGTGTTATGACCATACTAATAGGACTCTCTGCTGGGAGTCAGCTTAGATAAACCACCCTGTGCAATTATAACTTGTTATGGTAAATTAGGATGACCTGTGTTTGTGGACTTGTTCTCTGCATTTCTTACCTGCTAGCTCATGCACTATTCTTGTGAAAGCAAGCACCTTGAAAGCTGGGTGTGGGCACAGGCCCAAGGAAAACATATACCCAAGATCACTTAACACAGACAGCCAAACACACTTTAGAATTATTTTCCTATAGTCACATTAGGCATTAGATCTTAAAAAAGGGTTTTCACTCCCATCCCCACCCCATCTATGCTCACATGTTTGGTAGATCTAGTGTATAAGCACTTGAAAATAAAGGTTAGGTAAACATTAGGTAGTGTTCTGACTCAACTTCACTCAGAATAAGAGTGATCTTGAAACTGTGTCCAATAGCTATTTCAAAGAAGCCCCCTACCTAATTCAGCACATGATCCACCACACCTGTTATTTTACACCCTCTCCTTCTGCATCAAAATTCCAACCCGGAAAGCATTCAGTTCTATTACAGCTTCCACATACTTTATCTCCTCATCCCATGAGGGCCACATCCTTTAAAAATTATTCTTCTCCAGCTAATGGCTATAATGCTGAATTTTATTCTTTTCAAACTTTTATACATACTGAGACCCCACTCTGTCTCATCTACAAACACAAAGCCAGTTTTGCACCACAAAAAGATGCTCGTTCCTATAATTGTATTTAATTCCCTAGCCCTGAATTTAACTCTTTCACTTACTTAAGACATCTCAAATGTTTAATCTTAGGTCACATCTGTACCATACAGGCCACAGTGCAGAATCAAGAAGAAGGGTGCTCTGACACTACCTCCAAACACTACCCTCAAACTTATTGACTACTTAAGCCTCAAACTATTCCTTTTCCATAACTCCAACTTTGTCCTAAAATAATTCCAGTTTTCTCCTGCAAATGCACCAATCTCATTTTCATGCCTTGTGCCATTTCTAAATTCTCTGTACCTGAAACACATTTGGCTTTAAAGTAGCAAGACAACAGCAATTTTCCCCTGCTCATAATTGTTTCTGTGTCGGCTCTATACAGAAAGGGTAACTATTGTGTGAATTAACTTATTTTAAATCAAAGATGGGAGTTAACATTTATCCACCTCCCATAGTCACCACATTGGATACACCCTTCTCACCATCTCAAATTAATTCTTACCACCAATTGGAAATCACCCTAACAATACAATTTCCAGTTAGCACATCAGATGTTCCTAGGCACTGGAATCCAAAACAAATCCTCTGACAGCCTTTCCTGTAGCCACTGCCAACTTCTCCACCTCAGCTGTCATGACCCATGCACATAAATAGCAACGCCAAAATCACTTATTCTCTCTGCTCCAAATAACCTCAAATATTATTTTAACAAATTTAAAATTACCTGTCAGGGCTGTCTTTCAGTGAAGGATTTAGGGAAGCTCTCAAAAACTCTTCTCTGGACAGTAACCCACGTTTGGCCCAGCTAGATGCCTTTGAAGAAGAAAGACAGACGTGAAGAGGGATCTGAATGTCTTTGTTTCCAGATTTTAAACAATTATTCCTTTCTTCTTTCTCCACTTCCCAATAGCTCTCTTTCCCTCTCCCTCTTTCTTTATATGTGCATATGCAATTATATACTCTTCCACTATGCTCAGCTTCTTTCCTTGAATCCTAGCTTCTCTTTTCTTCTTCTGGGTGGGGATCCGGAGTTTCCTTCCCTGTCTCCCCCCCCCAACGTTGCCTATATACCACCCCTGGAAGCCCCCTCCCCTGCTGGACCACTCGAGCGTTGGAGGTAACAAAGGGTTGCCATGGCGACAGCATGCGGAGGAGGATGCTGTCGTCAGAACCACTGACACAAGTCGGGGCTCGCGAAGGAGGAGGAGGAGGAGGAGGCGGAGGCAGCGGCGGCGGCGGAAGCGGGGGAGGGTCTGAAAAACCACGGATTTCCCCCCTCCCTCCTCCGCTTCTGGCGCAAATTCTCCTCCCTTCTTGGCTGCAAGCGGGGAGCGTGACCCCACCCAGGCCCTGTCCTGGAAGCATCAAGGCTACAAAATTCGCCATAAGCAAAAAATAAAATCTTTATATCTTATTGGTCGAGCTCGAACGATTCCAGAAAGTAAAAGGAGAGGGTAGGAAAGCCATCCCATCCCACCCGATTTTCTATGCATGGGAAATACTCAAAATGTTCTTTCCCTAGTGTCACAAGAACGAGAATGCCCCATTTGCACAAACATGGAGAGCCGAAACAGGTATTAGTGCGACTACGTCTGATTGTTTCTCTTTCATTTTTGCTCTAGAACTGATCTGAGCCCTAGATAGGTAAGAGAGGGAATTATCAGGGCGGCTTTTAAGATTGGATCGCACTCCGCCCCGTCACCTGCGTCTACTCTGGAGCAAAACTGAACGCGGCCATAGCTAGCTGCTAAATACATTTCAAGTAATGCCTGCTTTGGCCCAGCAGATGTACCAACGGAGGACCCCTCGTTTGGTCCATGTCTCGGGGGAAGCTCACACCATGGCGGGAGTCCCTCACGCCCCCCGCCAGTTCCCCACCAGCTCCGTGTGTCACACGCTCAGCCCACCGCTCTCACCCCCTTTTCATGCGCCTACCAGTGGTGCGAGGAACACTCGTGACTCACAATGTGCGCCAGGATTTCAGCCCCTGGGAAAGCACTAGCATAAAGTTAGAAAAGGAGAGCGAAAGTCGAGGGTGAAGATCTCCAGAGTTAGCTAGGAAGGGGTAGAGATGAAAGTTGGGAAGAGTCTACAAGCTAGAGTTTAGAGGCACCGGGTTGCAGGACATAGCAGTAATAAACATTGATTTTTTTTAGTTATATTAAACAATGTGAGAGGAACTTAAGGCAGCGAGGACCGCACTGGAGAAATAGGCTACCTAACAGAGCTATTACTATCCTTAACATTCATCTACCCTCCCATCCAACGATACATTTTTCCTTAAATAAATGTTCCTTAAGGCATAACAATTCAGTAGAGCCTTCACGCTCAGAGGCACTGTACCAGATGCGAGGGATAAGCTGCTGCCAGCATACCTTGCTTGGGGCTGTGGGTGGTATTCAGCTAGCCACTACCGGAAACAGGATACTGACTCAGAGAGGACTTTCGTGGTATCCAGCAAAACCGTTTTTTTTAATGCCCACATTGGTTTCTTTTCCCCGCCTCTTCTAGGCACCTATTGTAACTAAAGGAAGGCAGCAATTAACAATGTGCAAATAGTGAGCCGGCTGGCTTAACCCCAGAAACAGCTGCGTTTTAGGCATGTTCGTATTCCCATTCCCTTCGCTGGACGAAAAGTCCCTGTACAGCAATAATAGGACGCATGCAGTTGTGTGTTGTGGTCGAGTCTTTTAGGTGTACAGTGACTCGCATATTTACACCTTCAGCTTTAGAGAACAGAAGGCGATCTGTTCTTATGGAATTAATATGCGTTTGCACCTAGTTGATTACGGTAAGCGTGACTCAGCGTATCGCCTTCCTCATCACCTTGTAAGGAAAACGTTACCGTATATTGCAGAGTTCAGTTTATCTTGCCTTAACGTAATAGAACATGCTACCGTAATTGCTCAGAAGAATTGTGACTCTTTGCAGATGACCTGTCAAAGGCTGTCATGGAAACGGATTCAAAACATTACTAGATGCAATGGAGTAAACAGATGCTCTGGAGAGAAGGAAAAAGTACTATAATTACTGGTGTGTATATATTTACGCTGTTTCCCACAAAATAAGACCTAAGCTTAGCATGATTTTTCCAGAAGCTTGTAATATAAGCTCTACCCCCAAAATAAGCGCCAGTTAAGATTGTCAGCCAGATGGAAGCATTTAGGACATCCGTTGCAACACAATTCGGGGTTTGGAAAGTTATGACAATGTTCCATGACTGTATTTGAATAAACATAGATTTTTGTACATTAATAAATGTAGTTTTTTACATTAATAAATGAAAAAAATTAGATTGTTGTACATGAAAAAATAAGCACCTGAAAATAGGCCCTAATGCATCTTTTGAAGCAAAAATTAATATAAGACCCAGTCTTATTTTTGGGGAAATACAGTATAACTGGACAAGAGGATATAGAATGTGGCTATATTTAATAGAACAGCAAAGTAGAACATCACTGAGGAAAGAATGCTGCGCAATACTTTCAAGTGAGGAAATGAGAAGAGCAGATAAAACAGAGGCACAGGGAATCTTGTCAAGAAGTGTGGCATTTCTCACTTTTATGTGTTATCTACACCTGCCTGCTAAAATCTCCTTTACACAACTGTTGGGATACATCTCAACCACCTTTCCTTGGGTTTATACCAGTTTAACAGTCATGTCTTTCCCCCTCTGCAAAGAGTCTTGGGAAGTGCAGTGTGACTGAGGGGCGACCAGTAGAACTTGACATGTCTTTCAGAATAGATGATGTGCGCCACAGGCATGCTGTAGGCTCCCCCCCCCCTTACACACACCACATCTAAATGTACATAGGATTATACACCAGAGCAAGATGTTGGACATGGGAAATTCTCCCCACACACACCGCCCGGTACCAGAGATCAGCTGGCAACATAGCCAGTGGAAGTGAGGAAGCACTTGGCCGTGTCTGTTGTTGTTCAGCTGCAAAGTCATGCCTGACACTTCGTGACCCCATGGACAACATTCCTCCAGGTTCTCCTGGCCTCCACCATCCCCCAGAGTACACAACCCAAACCTATCTCTCCAGCGACCCCATCCAGCCACCTCAACCTCTGCCATCCCCTTCTCCTTTTGCCCTCAATCATTCCCAGCATCAGGGTCTTTAGAAGGCATGTTTCTTCATCACATACAGTCCTGGCATGTTCATCCCCTCCACAGTCCTGGCAGAGGATTGTGCCCTTAGAGGACTGGAGTCAAAAAGTCAAAATAAATATCAATGAAATTCTGCACATCTGCTCAGAAGTCAGTTTCATTAAATACAATGGGGTTTCTTCCAGGATAGTGTGGCATTGCAGCCTACATTCCACAAACCATTTTTGCATATCTGAGACTAAGAGAAGGATTTCCAAGCCAGGAAGTGGGAATTCCAAGCCTGTGTGAGTTCCAACACTTAAAAAAGAAATAAATAAATTGAGCACTGTTATAATTTTCAGATTTTCCAAACTAAATACCTTAGCTGATTTATTTATTTATATTCCACCTTTCTTCCGGCAAGAAACCCAAGGTAGTGCACACAATCATCTTCCTCTTCATTTTACAACATTTACAACAACCCTGTGAGGTAGGTCATGCATAGAGTCAGTGACTGGCCCAAAACCACCCAATGAGTTTCATGGTTTAGTGAGGACAGGAGCCTGGCTCTGCTAGGCACAGCCCAACACCCTAACCACTACACCACACTTTTGTTGTCACACCAACAAGAATCGGTATGCCCACTTTGTTTAGCCTGCCCTCTGCTGCTTCCCCAGGAAGAACTAGGGTTGTTGGTGTTTGCTCCTGCAGGGCACACGTGCTTTTAACAGTTACCTGATGGGCCTTTGTAGCAGGTGACACTATTCTTGGCATGAGGTGGGCGGGCGGGGGGGGGGATATCACCTGCTCTAAATGTATCCCTGCCTGGCATTCATGAGACAACCACCAAGAAGATGGAGCAAACACTGGTGAACAGACCAGCTGTTGCTGACCGAGCCGTTACTTTGCAAATACTTTCTGTGAGCCGTCCCAAGGCTACATAGCAAGGGGACGGCATATAAAAACTTTAAATAAATAAATAAATAAATAAATAAATACTTCCGTGTATGAAGTACAGTACAAGGCATTTTGCAAACTGTGGCAATTCCTTGTTTCATAAACCCATCAGAAGATAAATTATCTGTATAATTTGCTAGATTACATTTGTAAAATGCATTACACATATTAATTAGCACACCAGGAATCCTCCTGCCTTCCAAAGTAGCTTCCCTCCAGCAGGAGGGGAGCATAGGCCTGTGTAAGGAAGGGACACCAAGAGGGTTGCCAACATTCTGCGCCTTTTAACACTTGGACAAATACGTGCTTAACAGAAATTTTCATTGCACTAAGGTGAAGTGATGGGGAAAGTCTCCATTCAGCACTCAATAGCTGCCTTCCAGGCCTCTGCCAGAGTCAAGGGAGGGGGCAAGACGGGCAAGACACCAGTGGTGGGCCGGTGGAAGGGTGGTGATCTATAATCAGCCACTGAGGCTTTCCCAAGTACAGGCTGTGGTCTCCTGATGATTTAATGAATCAGATTGGAAAGATGAAAGAAATGGAGGATCCCAAGCAATGAATACCTAGTTCCCTTTGTCTGCAAAGATGCAGAGGTATGTTGTAGAAACCGGGGAGACAAAGGGCTGGTGCATGTCATAGTCCTTTGGGAAGTAAATCAAGATGAGCCTGGTGCAAGCAGTCCATTTGGAATATGCAAACTCCTATCATGACTTACGGTGTGATGCATTCTGTAAACCCACAGTTGGTTCTTTAAACAATCCTTGCGTAACCCTTCCACCAACTAAGTTTTGTGAGTGTTGTTTAACTGTGTTTGCAGCAATGCTGTAACTTCTGAGCACCCCAACTGGGTCTGCATGTTCAACATGGTGGTCACACATACCTGGTGCCGTTGTTCATCAGCCCACCATGAGCCCGCTGTTTCATGCGAACCAGGCCAAATAGTGCAGCGGGTTGCAGCAACTGGACAAGTGTGTCCCAATTGGACTGCTAACTTTCGAGGAGGCCTCTGTAGCTGCCCCCGTTAACATCAATCTTATCTACAGCATGTGACCTGACTTCTGTGCATTTCTGGAAAAGCCTGATTTCAGTGTCAGAGAGCTTTTCTGCATGAGGCCATTACTCTGCTTTCAGTTTCACTGCAGAACTGAGAGCCAAGCCTCATGGAAAGAACATTTTCTTTCCTGCTTTTCTGGCACACAACTTCTCGGAGGTGCTGTTGATAGCTGAACAGAAGAAATACACAAGTGGAAAGCTAGTTTTTTTTCACCTTTAGAAATAGTATTGCATTTTCTCTGCTCTTAAAAAAGTCACTGAAAGGCTATTTAAAAACAGAAGCAAAACCAGAGGGTCATGAGTGTCTAAAAAACTGGTAAACAAGCATGAGTAGGGAATGACAAGTGCTTAATAAATGCCTTGTGTAGAAAAGTTCATAAACCTTTGTTAAAAGTATAGGCACAAGTCAGTTTTATTTATTTAGGCCCAAACCCAGTGCAACTTCTAGCTGATGGGAGACAGGATCAGAATTTTTGTTAAGTGTAGGAAGGTCTTCTGATAAGGCCTTTTTTGTGACCCATCTATGCTGAAATGAAGGATTCTTCCACATGATGGTCCCTTGGGACTAGTCAGTCAAATGCTGTTCTGTCATCAGGTGAAGGCAGAATTACAACTAAGATTCTAGATGCAAGTGAATATTGCACTATTATGGAAGGAATTGCCATTCCCATCCACCATTAGTGGTGCTTCCAGTGTGCTGCAGGTGGCCACGATGATCTCCCACATTCCTTTTAAATAATAATAAAAAAAATACAATGCACAAATGTGAAAAAGTACCACTGCACAGCATATCCCCCTGCACAAATTTTGTGGGGTTATATAACAAGCTACACTCTACCCACAACACCCACCCTACCCACAATCCACATACAAGCATTCTTCTCTTCCTTCTGTAGTGTGACAGAAGTACAGACACTGCGGCTTTTACAAATGGTGCGTTTTATTTATTGCTCCAAAATAAAAGCAAATAGGGAAGGGGAAGAAAATACCCAAAGGATGAAAAATAGGCGAGTAAGGGTGCAAATGGAAGTGTTCCCAGAAACTCCATCTTGTTTGGGGGTGCCTCACACTGGCTCTTCCCCCAACATAAAGGGAACTCGTACAGGAACTGGGTTGTCTACAGAGGGGGGGAAATTAATTTTTGCTTTTTTTCCAAAATGCAAGAGAATGGCCACAGAGGGAAGGTTGATCTGATACTAGGGAAGATGAGAAAGGAATAGTGGGAATATTCCTATATCCAGTCCATATTGGAGGCAGATGGGTGGGTTTAAGTCTAAATAGGGACAACCCCCATAGACCTTTGGGGCCTTTAGACTTCCTTTCCTCCAGGTTGGATGATTTGGCAATTCCATTAGAATAGTCCCATATACATACAGAGTGTAGCTTCAGGGGAGGAGGTCTCTGTCAGCAGCAGAATTCTTTATTTTAGCCATTTTGGCAGGATGGGTCTTACTATTTCTTTTTAAGACTTCCAGGGAAGAGCCACACAAAATGCCTATTCAACGTCCTTAAAGGAGAAGCCACACGATACTATGTGACCCTCTATTCTGATCATAGGAAGCTATCAAGAGAAACTCTGTGTTTGCATCCTGAATGAGTAGATGCTTTTCTATGTTTAACCCATAAAACAGTATTCCAATATTCCAGTGTTCTAAGTGCACATGTAATTTTCCTGGTCAAAGGAAGTTAACCTTCAAAGGGATGAATAATAACTTCTCAAAAGTAAATATCCTATGTTTTATCATTCCAGAGATATTATAAAGAGAGGTACAGGCTACAAAGCCTCTGGATTGTTTATTATTTTTGTTAGCATACCAGACAAATGGGTAAATAGACATTCTTTTCTTTAAAAAGACTGCAAATGGGGGTGGGAGGGAGAAATCAAACCAAACCACAAATGTTGGCACAATTGTTCTTAAAAGCATGTGTGAATTTATTTGTGGCTTTCAATGACTGAAAGAGACATAAAAATCATCTGCCTACATTTTATCCTTTAGGAGAGACCTGTATTCCATAATCACTATGGGTCCAATGTTTTACAATTAAAGGAACTTGCTCAGTAACAAAATGGCCACCTCCATTTTTTAAAAGACATAAGATTCATTTTTCCTGCATTTTCATTTTTAAAAGGCAGGACTGGAAAAAAGCTTGTTTAGGTGCTGACATCAAATATTTAGGAGGCAGAAAGCCAGGAAACTTATATATGGCCATACAACTCACAATTATCCAGTGCAAACACTATGAAAATGAACAAGATTTGCACAAGGAGTCAATGAAATTTTGGGGGAACTTGCCCGTGTGTTGTGCCCCAAAAGTTTAGAAACTGGCAGACTCCACATTTTAGGAGACCTGGCTACCCTTGGGCTATTGTTAGGTTATCTGAGGGTTTGTTCCCTCTTCACAAGCCATGACATCTCCAGGCAAATGGTGCCCAACACCTACCATAGCTCAAACACACCACTGTAGCTTGTTTAACCCAGCATGATGGTGCAACCCAGGTCAGTAGGTCTCTGGGACTTTTCCAGACATTCTAGGATGCCATGGTGTGCATTTATTTAGAGGGAGATATAACTGAAACATTGTTGTTCCTCCTTAGAAAATGTTTCCTCCACTGCCCTACCATACTAACCAAAATAGTACAATAAATGCAATTAGAATGTTCTGCCCAAGTCAGGCTCCCTCACCCTGCTCAGCCGCAGGCCGTACTTGCCGATAGGATTTCTAGCAAGATTTTTTTAAAGATCTACATCAGGTAACAACAGTTTGCAGTCACCCTTTTTGTTCACATTTTCCTGCTTCTGGAAGTGGGTGGGAGGAAGATTAGAAAGTCAGAGGAAGAAAAGCAGAAGTGTAATCAGAAAGCCCTTATTAGACAGCGCTCATTCACTAACGCTGCAATCCTGTATATGGTTACTTGGGAGTAAGCCCCATTGAACATCATGGGACATCATTCCAAGTAAACATGCATAGGGTTGTGCTATAAAGCTGCGTTGACAGTGCATTTTGCAGGACTTCCACAGTATCATACCTGGTGGTCTACATAAGCAGAGCACGCCTGCTGTAATTGCTCCGCAGTCCCAGCTGCTTTCTTTCTTGCAGGGCAATTTGGATTCACTAAAGGACCTTTCCCAAGACCAGATTATCCATGGAATGGGCAGGTGGAAATGAAAGCTTGTGTAACCCTGCTCTTCTCCCTCTCAAAGGACAAGCACTGGCTTTCTTTTGGAGGCTCTAAGTTTTTATTCCCAATTCCACAAAAAGTTGGTGGAACTACATTCTGCTAAATTCTGTAGGATTTGCTCCCATGTAATAAGTTTAGGATTAGGAATACAAATCTGGTTGACTTACTGTAGCCTTTCTTTGTTTTTATAACTCTTACCAGTTGTTTCTTTTATCTTCATAGAGACTTGTTGCCATTAAGATCAAATTTAGCTTATTTATGGTAATGCATCCTACAAGCCACGTATGCTGGTTTTTAGTGATGTTATTGTACAATCTTCTTTACAGAGTTTTTTTATGGCAGCACCTATAACTGATATTCACTTCATTAAAAAAGGACAAGGCAAGGAAAAAAGGGGTGACACAGAACCCCTCCCTCTTTCTCAACCACGAAGGAAATAATAAACAAAGTGAGGGAAAGAGGAAAGTGGGGGGGGAGTAAACAAAGAGATAAAAAGCAGAAAAAGTGTGTGCGCGCGTGTGTTTGTGTGTGTGTGTGTGTGTGTGTGAGAAACGTGTTTGGCACATTGAAGAGGGTATTTACAAGGGGCTGGGGATTGGATGGCGTCCAAAGCTGGAAAGTGGACAATGAGGCAGCAACATGGAGAGGAAGGGAGAAAGCTGAATCTGTGGGGTAGAGAGGAGAAGCTCCCTCTCTCCCCTCCATTTCCCCTAAGCCCCCCCCAAAACCACCTTCCACTATTCCCTCCTAAATAGGAATCGTTCTCAGTCGCTGCTCCTCAAACCCACTTGGGTTGGGGAAGAACGCAGATCCTCTAACATCTTCTAGATGGAAACTTCATATTCTCTGGTGTCCTGCCGTGGAGGGGAGTGGGGGAAAAAAGAAAGAAAGTTATCATATTAGAAAGACAGAGCCGTGCCAGCATGTTTTCCTTAATCACTGAGTTTTCTTGAGTGCTTCCAGACAAGGCTCCAATGCCACCATCACTCTGCCTCATTTCATTGAGGTTTAGGGGTTGGGGGTCCAGATGATGTCAACTTGTGCTTGTGACCCTCCTGTGTTTTCTTAGTGCTTCTTTCATCTTTCCCCGTTTTCCTGAAGGGGGAAAAGGTGGTATGGGCTGCACGATGCCTTCCAATTGCTCACCTTGGAGCCTTCTGTCTAGAAGCACGGATACATTACACCAAACATCAGGGGGTTCCAAAAAAGTCACGTTAGACCGAGACATCTTTCCCCAATCTGGTGCCCTCTAGCGGCAATAGACTGTAACTCCTATCAAACCCAGCTTGCTTAACTCTGCTGGCTGAGAATGATGGGACTTGCGGTACTACATCTTTACAGGGCATCACATTATGGAAGGTGGATATAACAGATGCATCTTTGCATTTCAGCATGCAGTTTCTTTAAAAAAAAACCCCCCACCTGAATCATATCAGCTAGGGGTTCAGTCTAGGAGTCACACAAAGGGTGGTGGTATCCTTCCGCTGAAGCTGCTCTGGGAAGAAATTCCCTTTTGCAGCCCATTTGTATTGAGGTGATTGGTATTTCTAAGAATCCGCACTTGAAATGCAAAGAGGCATTTGGCCTTCAATGCTCATGTTAAAGGGGGTCAGAACTGTGATTTCTTGTCAACTGTTTTTAGAAAGCTATGAGATCAAGGGGAAGATAAATAACTTGGCTAAAGTGAGGAGATGGTCAGAAGCTGGGACTTGGACCTTTCATAAGCCCTCACCTCCCCAATCCTTTGCCTCATAATTCAGGCAGTAAGCCAGATACAGTTTGAAACTAGTTTTAACATAGATTTAATTTTCAAAGGCTACAGTCATATTGTTGTTTGGTTTGCTGGCCAATTATAGGGAACAAATCTATCACTGTGTTTTATCTTCAAATTGTCCCTCAGTTGAGGTACTAGATTGGACATTCATGTTAACAGAGCCATCTCCAACGCTTGCTCAGAATGACCTCCACTGGGTTTGATGGGATTTATTATTCCAATTAATGGGTGGTCAGGGGAAAGTGGTTGGGGCCAGGAAATGGGGCCTGGCCTTCTGGAAAATTCTGTGTCTCCAGTTCTGCATCCTTTGTCTGTCTGATGTGCGCTAGTGGCCTTGAGAACTTATCTATTAGATTCCACCTATAGAAGCAGAATGTCAAGAAAGTATTAAAACAGAGCAAGTCTCAAGGGCTCCCTGTTATCCAGGGGAAAGTAAACCCAACAGTGCTGCCCCAAATACTTCTCAGCCCTTAGGAATTGATAGTGCATAACAAAATGTACAGAGATACACATTTCAGCTCCTATGCTCTTTTTAAAAACATTCCGGGTAGAGAACAACGGCTGCACCATACCGACCAGCCGGTGCGCAACTCACCCCAGCCTCGTAGAGAGGGTTGTTAAAGTCAGACTCCACGGTGATGGGGCTGTAGCTGTGGGAGCTGGAGAAAGAGAAACCAAAGAGGGTCTTTCCTTGGAACCTGCAAGTGGGTAAAAGGAAAGAAGGAGAAGGTGCATCAAAGCAAGCAAACAGAGCTGAAATACCAGCACTGTTTCTTGTTGTTTCACACGGTGTCGTCCCAGGCATGTCTCCTCAGAAGTAAATCCTTCTGAGTTGAACGGGACTTAAAATGTGTGTATAGCAGCCTTCCCCAACCTGGGTCCTCCAGATGAACTGAAGTACAGCTGAAGCACTTCCAAGGTTAAGAGCATAAGAGAAGCTCAGCTGGGTCAGACGAAGGGTTCATCTAGTCCAGCATTCTGTTCACACAGTGGCCATGGAAAACCCACAAGCAGGACATGCGTGCAGCAGCACCTCCCCACCCATCGGACAATGGCACGCATAGGCATGCGGCCTCTGATACTGCAGGCAGCATTCAGCTGCCAGGACTAGGGGTCACTGGTAGCCTTCCCCCCCTTCACAGATTTGCCCAGTCCCCTTGTAAGGCTGTCCCAATTGGTGGCCATCACTCCATCTTGTGGAATTGAATCCCACACTTCAGCTACAAGTTCCTCCGTGTTTTTAGCGATCCTGATTCTCTCACCCATCACCTCGACTGGATATCCTTTTTCTCCATGAGACTAATAGCCATGGCCAGCTTTATCGTCCACTTACATTCATGGGAGGACTCCAGGTTGGGGAAGGACGGTATATGGGGTCACCAGCACTTTTTAAAGAGCTTGGTAGCCAAGCTTATGCTATGCAAAGAGAAGGTCTCAATTCAGATCTCAAGTTATCTCCCAATAAAGCGGGGAAAAACTGCAGTCTGAAGCTCTGACATGTCACTACCAGTCAGTGTAAATAATGGAATAAATGGCCCAAGTTTAAGGCAGCTTTCTAAGTACCCACATTTCTAAGTACTTCAACCTCCACCACCTTCATTCATATACCAAATTCATTTTAAATTTGGGACCTGGCATATCCCAAAGGCAACAAAGAGGAGTGCCAAATTTTCAACCTGCTATCTTAGCTCTGCCTTTAATAGCAGTCTAATGCATAAAGATTAGGAGGTGATCAAACACCACCGTTGGGCTGCGAAAAGCTTTTGCAATGTTAAAACTACTTTTACATCACAAGAGCAAGGCAAGACAGCCATTTCTTCCTCAGTCAGTTGATAACCCTTGTATGAAAAGCAAAACAAACCCAACACAAGAAAGGACTCAATGTCATCTACTTAATGACATCTCTCCACCTTTCCCCGATTTGACCCAGAGCTCCAGAAACTGACTAGGTACATCTTATAATACTTCCTACCCATGCTCAGCCTCCACCCCCAGCCCTGAAGATTTTGAAACCGATACTGGCTCTTTAAAATCAGCACCTCTCTTATCTACAGCTGGCCCTCTAAGACTCAGGGCATCTTTGTGCGGAAGAGGACACCAAAGCATTCTTCTGTCCCTTTGAAACAAAGTAACCTTTTTAAGATTGCCCATTCAAGTGCCCTCATACTGGCTTTTATCATATTTAAGGTTTCTACTGTGTCTCCCTACCATCCAATTTTAGCAAGACTCATCTCTTCAGCAGCTGTGCAAAGCAACAGGTGGCAGTTTATCATCTCATGCCAAGCTAGTCAAAAACCTCACTGATCCATCTCCTCCTCATGCAACTTTTTAATCTCTTCCTACCAAAGGCAAGGCCTTTATGGCCCCCAAATGGTGGAACAACCTCATGTTGAAACGGTACTGTTTTTGCTTGCCTTTTAGAAATGTTATAAAAAGTCTTCCTCCCCCTCTCTCCTCTCTTACTGGAATTTTTTGATTGGCCGATGTAGATCTTTTAATTATCTTTTTATTTGTGTTATGACTGTGGCAATTAGTTTTTCCTCCTTTGTTCTGTTTTTGTAAGCAACATATGTTGGAAAAGCAGTACATGCTGTACAGCCATAAAAGTACTGTCTCTCTAAATAAGCAGTGGTAACTCTAGTTCACAGCTGCAACCTGCTTTCTGTGTGAGGGCTTAGTCCTGGAAAATGTAAAGGAGTCATAAAGAGGGTGCCTCTGAGTCTGTGCAAAGTGTATTTGTCACCACTGTGCCTTCTCTGGGGATTGATGCTGATGTTTCATATTCAACTTGTGACTGCTGGACAGACCAGACTCCCTCCTTCTGTTTCCATAGGCATGAGCAACCTTTGTCTATCCAGAGCGGCATTCCCTTGTGGATAATCTGTCAAATGCTGAAGCTCAGTGGTAGGCATGGCCAAAGCCAAAAAGTCACCCCTATTTTTCTTTCTGCTACTCATCTTCTCTCTTTCCTTCTTGCTTCTCACCCAGACAAGAAAAAAACTGACACAGAGGACTTCCGAGCCTGGAGTGAAGGCTGCAAGTTTCCCACCACTGATTTAAAAACCAAGGGTCTCTGCCTTCCTAAGGCAGCCTAAATTCTCACACCACAAACTAACATGTCGAATGACACCCCTTGGCTACAGTTATCCCCTTTCAAAGCCTCAGCTTTCCCTCCCGCAGAGCACAGGGAACTCGCTCACTTGGTGTAGTAGACATAGATGCCACCGATCAGGAGGATGACGAGGATGATGGGGAGGAAGATTGCCAGGGCAATGTTGCCACCTTCCATCTGGTGGGAAGGGTCTGTCGTCTGGGTGACTGTGGAACAAAAACAGTCAGGCCAATAATATGTACGTGATGATACGGACACAGCCGAAAGCAACATCATTGCCCCGCATCCTCCAGGATCCTCTCCCAAGCTCCCCATCCCACACCCGCCTGCCAGTCTCACCTTCTAGTTTCCGGCCATCCAGTAACTCCTCATAGGCAACTAGTGGTGGGGGCAAAGAGACCAAGGAAGGCATTTAGGAATGACAAAGAGGCAAGCAAAGAGAGGGGGTGGGATGGAGGAGCAGCCACGTGCAGCAATGATGCAGGCATCCTACCTTTGCACAGCGGGGGCTGGCTGGTCCACTGGGATGGATGACCTGGGATGCAGGTGATTGTCACTTCGCCAATGAGCTCGAAGCCCTCGTAGCAGAAGAAGCGCAGCGATTCTCCTGCCTGGTAGTGATGCTTGTAAAGTGTTTGGTACCCGTTCTCTGGGACGCCGGGATTCAGGCAGGGCTCATATTTCACTGCAAAAGAGATTGGGGCCTTCAGTCCCAAGCCAATCCTGCCTTCAGGCTCCTTGCCGCAAGACAGCACCACAATATGGCTGGCATCACTAATGCCAGGAGGAGGAGGGGTTGTCTGAAAGAGGAGCAAATGGGCAGGAGGAATCCCAGATTCTTTCTCTTTAGATGCACTGTCCCATGAGATTTCAGAGATGCATTTATGGCAAGTTTGAGAAACTCTATGTTGTGTCTGAGCATCAAAACTCTGTTGACATTGGTGGTCTTGTTCCAAGAGAAACATGCTATATATTGTAGCTTTCTACCATCAGGATTTCTATACATATGTTAAGAGATATTTTGTAAAGATCTCAATGATGGAAACAAGACAACTAAACATGAAAGGCAAAATCCAGTGAAAATAATGTACCAACTTGGAACTTGCAAAATAGACATTGTTCTGCTGTTTCTAGCAGAAGACACAGACTTTGTAAATGGGTCAAAGGACTACAAAACCTGTTTTTCTTGAGAGATAATGGTGGGATATTCTTCAGAACTAGAATATACATGCAGCATATTTTAGCTTAAAGCTCTTACTTCTGGTAACAAGCCCCAGGAGAGTTATTTCTAACCTTTTAGAACGGGGGAAACTATCAGGCGATTGGGCACTGGAAGAAAGGAGGTGGGGCCACAGAAAATGGGCGTGGCTTCAGGCCTAAATTTCCATAGCCCTGATTCAAGGGGTCAGTTAAAACGTGGGAGACTCCTGTGCGCTAAAAGCAGAAGGCAGGGGAGCAGGCAAGAGCGGCAGGATGGCCAGTCCCTGTAGTCCGCCTGAAGCTTCCTTCTGGGCTCCACACGCAGCCCACCACTCTGCCCAGCTGCAGCGCCACAGCTCCCTTTGGAGGTGGACCAAGATTTCCCCGTTCCGCCTGCCCCGCCTCCCTTTACTCACAGACACACTTGGGCACACGGTCGCTCCACTTGGGGGTGCCTGTGTCGCGGTTGTAGCAGGTCAGCATGCTGCTGCCTTCCACCACGTAGCCCTCGTGGCAGAAATACTGGACGTGGGAGCCGATGGAGAAACGCCGGTCGGTGACGCTGCGCTTGCCATTGCTGATTTCTCCTGGGTCAGCGCAGTTCACAACTTTGGGGGTGGGGTGGGAGAAAAGTAATGTGACTTTGAGAACGGTACGCTGTATATACCTTCTTGCTGCCTGCACTGAGGGCACCAGACCTAACAATGTAGAAGATAACGTTCTCCCCAGTACTGTGTCAAATCTGGACCAGCTCTCCGTGATTGCCCTAAAAGCCCTCACCTTTCATCCTTAAGTGAAACAAGATTCTAATTCTTAGTGTTACATGAATATGTATATATGTATGTATGTGTACTGTATTGACTATGTTGCTCAAAAGCACAGAAATTAAACTGGATTTGCACAAGGGCTTCTGTAGACGTCTTGGCTCCCCATTGAATCGTTGCCCTGCCCTGCCACCACCCCAAAGACACATATTCTTGGCTTCTGTGCCCAAAATCTTCTCTCTCTTCAACAGATTTTGCTGAATGCCCCTCTTCAACTTTCCACTGCCCCAGCCCCTGCTGATGTATTCTGAATCAGGAAGGAAGGAGGGAGGGAGGGAGGGAGGCTGCACCATCCATTTGTGTTAACAGCAGGAACTCTTACTTTTCTGGCAAGTGGGAGGGCTGTTGCTCCATGAAAGGTCCCACTGGCAGGTGAGGATGTCAGATCCCACAATGTCATAGCCTGGCTCGCATTGGTAAGTCACCACTGTGCCACGGATGACGGCAGCATGAGAAGCCGTGCGCCAGCCAAACTCCACCTCAGGCAGCTCCGGACAAGTGTCATTTCGTGGAACCTCTGCCAGTAGGAGGAGGAGGAGAGGAAAGAGTCGAATGCGCCCTTCATTAACTTCTGGTTTCCCAGCCCTGCAACCTACACTTTACCCCTTTCCTATTGCATGTTGGGAGTTCTATAGGCTCCCCTGCATAAGTGGTTATCGCACAGCAGCTTTCCCCAACCTAGTGCCTTCCAGATGTGCTGAACTACAGTTCCCGCCATTACCATGACCCTGTGAATGGTGGAAATTGTGGTCTGACACATCTGGAAGACATCCAGTTGGAAAGAACTGTTCCAAGGTAGCAATCCCTGAGTTAGCTGTATTTCTAGTTAGGGTTATTTCTACTGTACTTTTCTTACATGCTTAAGTGTTGAATAAAGATAGCTTCTCAGGGAAAGATAATGGCTTGTGAATTATCCAGGACAAACAACAAGGGGTTGCAGCTGAGACACCCTGAAATCCTTGTTCCTGTAGACAAGGACTGTAAGTGAGAGTAAATTCCCCTGGTGAGAAAAGCCCCGTCTGCATCTACAGTGTGCGCTTCAGCCTTATGTTGCATTCCAGGCTGGGATGGAAACAGAACTGGGATGCATAAGGAATCTTAATGTGATGGGGAGGGAACATCTGGTCTCTTTTTGCACTTCAGACGCCTTGGATTCAGGTTTGCCAACCCTGCACTGGTGCAGACTCACTATGATGCAAGCTGAGCCAGTTCATGGACTTCTGTCTCCAGGGGGCCACAGTTTGCACATTTATTTTTTAAAAAATCAAAGCACATTTGCCAATTTGTGCATATCAGCATCAGGAAAGCATATTGCCCTTGTGTGATTTGTGCCAACTGTGCAATGACGACGTGCTTTTAGAATGCCAATTTGTGCAAATGTTATTTATCAATTTGTTTGTTTGTTTTCAACACTGCCTAATAGCTGAAGCTCTCTGGGTAGTGAACAACAGTCAAGACACAGAATACCATGATTTGCAAAAAAGATCCTTAGCATTTTTTTTAAATGGCACCAACTGTGGCCTCACTTAAAAACGGTAATTCATGAGGGGGAAAATACAACTTGGTTTGCATCCAGTGATTGGATTAGAAACAGGCAGGAAGTCTCTTGAGCTCAACTTCCCAGTGTCAGCAGCACATTCCTATGTGGTTCCAGAAGTGGGGGCACTCAGCAGGATTACTCACTTGACTCCTCCTCTTTGGGTTCTTGTCTTTCCTCCTCCTGGCCTTTTCACTTAGCCTTCCTGTCTTTTTGAGCAGCAAAGCTCAGGCTAGCAAGCTGTATCTGACCTCTAACCCTTCTGACCTCACATGCCTCTTGGCCCTTTGGCTTTATCTCACTTTTGACTAGCCATCATATCCCGCTGGTTTTCATCCAGTGCTCCTGGCTTTTCCCACCCACTGGTCCAGGAGGTCTTCCTCATACCTTTATATCGCACCAGGAATCCCTGACTGAGGCCAAAAAGAGGGTCGCCAGGATCTGACTGGAACTGGAGAGTGACAGCTGGGCCTGAAGAGTAAAGGCTGAAGCGAGGGTGAGGCCCCAAGTACTGGCCAAGGATCCGGGCAGTTAAGTCTCCACCATCAAAGATGGTCAGCACATCTGATTTGCGGATGTTGAGGCTGAAAGGAGAAACAGGAAGAGAAAAAAGACCAAAAAAACAAGAGCTGCTTTAAGAGGGAGAGAGGGAGAGCAACCAGGACAGAATATGGCTGGCTGCTCACACTGTGCCATCATCCAAACTAATGGGTGGGTGTACAGACAGACAGACAAATAAATAAATAAATGGATGGACAGAAAAAGAATCACAGGCTTTCCTGAGTCAGTAAATGAAATGAAATGAAATGAAATGAAATGGGGCTTTTTCAAAAGGAGGGTGTTTGTTTTATATAATGTGCAGTGGTTCAAATTTGGTGAACACTCAGGAGTCATCTATGTCGCTCTAAGCATGTGGGGAATCAGCAGAATTTGCCCAAGCAGAGGGCTAGTCAGCCTTTTTTACATGAAAGGATCACTTTGTGGTGGTTCTACATATTTGGAGGGAGTATTCAGATAATGCTTTCTTTTCTTTAGAATGGGTTTACAGAATAATATCTCTATCATGTGGCTGTACTCATGCTGGATTTTCTTGTCAGGGTGGGCAGTATCTTTTTTCAGACATTATACTTTTTAGGGGGTTTGAAAGAGAAAATGAGATATAGAATTACCAGAAACATAAAAAGAATGCCCCCCCAAAAGAAATAGAATTAAAAACAAATTAGTAATCCTCTATCCTAGCTATATCTAAATCAACCATGCCCCTTCCCATGAATTTAGTCCTATTGACCTTGGTTCCCCCGTCCCATGGGGCAGACGCCGTGCTGCTCACACACTGTGCAATGTTGGTGGCAAAATTTCACAAACGGCACTAGATGAAACATGCCCCTTTCCTCCGGTGTCAACCATCAGATTTAGAAACTTCCTCCTAAAATTTGCCATGTAGGCTGGTTCGATCGGCCATCCCCTGAGCTACAAAAGGTATCCTGCATGTCAGAGGAGATTCCTCCAAAACTTAGACAAGGACCTTACCAGATTTAATGGATGAGATGAATGACTTCAACAATCAATCTAATGAGAGTCGGTGGTTTCAGAAGGCCATGAGGACAAGATGAGATGTCAATGCCTGAGTCATGGGGGGTCCACCCCGACAAAAGGGGTGGTGTTGATGGTGGCGGCGGCGGCCGTGGTGGTACCTACATCTCGATGTCTAGGAGCACTCGCTTCTCCTCCTGCACCCGGATGCCCCAGACGCAGTCCTGCCCTTTCCCATAGGACTGGGGCCAGTCGGGGGAAAGCACCACCCCTGTTGATTCAGAGAGCTCCCCGCCACATAGTGCTGAAGGGGAGAAGGTACACAGTCAGGAGGAAGCCACATGAAGAAACGAAAAATTTCCCCATGCCCGCAATCAAGGCCCATTTTGAACCAGGTTCCTCTGCAGAGCTAACGGGGGTACCGCACTTGTAGAAACTGCCCCACGGCACACACCATGCCCCTAGACTTGTCTCGGGGATCCAGTGCTGGGGACATATATGACTCTCCATATATTCTCTTGCTTCTCTAGCAGCTGCCTTTAATCCGTCCTACATTACACCACCACTTCCTCCTCCCCATCACGTCCCGCATCAGACCCTACGGCCAAAACAGGAAGATCTCAGCACTGTCTGCCTGTGCGCTGCAAGAACAACTTAAGGAACTTAAACACTTCAGGACCAGAATACCTAATCATTTAATCCTCACTGGCATGTACCTTCCTGGTGGTACTCAAGATGTCAGAGGTCTGGTCAGCATGGCTTGAAATAGGGCTGTTAGTCTCTTGTACTTTCTACCACTACAAATTCAATGGCAACCAACACTTCTGGGTTTACAGGGCCTACTAAAAATATACCTTTCCAAAAGGCACTTACAGGAAGGCAGTTTTGTCCCTTGTACATTCCTCAGACATTTCTTTAATATAAACAATTCACAATTATCGCTAAATAAATAAATAAACAAACAAAAACCCTTCTGGGTTGCAACATCAATCAGTTTACTAGATGCCCGGCTGAAATCCTGCTCCCTTCCCACCATCCTAAAAATGTTTACTTGGAAATAAGTCCTATTCGTTTCAATTGAACTTTCTTACAGATAAGTGAATTTAGGGTACATTTGCAGCCAGGTTTCCCTATCTGAAAAATTCATTCTTTTCCTCCTGACTGGGATAATGACCAATAGAGTGGGAAGATTTAACCTAGGAATGCTTATGAAATGCAACCTATTCAAACAGATCCCTGGTATCCTTGTAGAGTTGCATGGATGTCATAGCAATCTGCCCTTTCTCCATGTTAATTTCCTGACTTCACACAACCTGCTGTACATACACAGTTGGCTACAACTTTTCCAGTCTTTCTCAACTTTCTCTCTACACTACTTTGTCCTTGCGCATAAGTGCTCCTGTGACTAAAACACCGTAGGAAAAGGCACCTTGTTGTGCTAAGAGCATTGTGTGCAATCAACAGTGAATTGTGTGACTCTGTAGAGGTGTGTGTGTCTGTACACAGACAACAAGAACAAATAAAGCAAACTCCACGGCAGAATCTGGCCAAGAGCAGGGCATGACAGTGGATTACCTTTACAGGTGGGCTCGCTTTCGTTCCACCGGGGGTCTCTTGAATCAATGCACTCGATGGCAGAAGGCCCCTGTTCAAGCATATATCCAGCACTGCAGGCAAATTCCACCACAGTCCCCATACGGTACAACGGGTCTGATGTGCTGAAATTCCCATGTGCCAGAAAGGGTTCATAACACCGATCTTCATCAAAAGCTGCCAGCAGGGGGAGCAAGAGAATCAGAAATGTTTCCTGGGGTTGGGTGGGTGGTGGTGTGGGGCAATGGTGAGAGAGCTCTCATTGCAGAATCATGCATGGCCAGAAGATGGGAGCTGAGATGCATCTAATTTTGCCTGGAAGAACTCTGCAAGCAAAGCACTCGCTGGTACTTAGCTCAAACCAGTATGTGAAATTCAAAACTGCCACCATTGCTGCTTCTTGATTCTGGTCACCATTCCAGGGTTGCCAGACCACAATGCTGCAATGACAGCAGAAATCACAACAGGAAGAATTTCTTGGTCTAGCAGCCTCTGTCCGTTGTGCTTTCTCCTGTGCCTGATCACTCCCTTTCTGCCAGTGGTCAGGTCATCTTTAGCCACCTTACCTCTTGAATAGTCTCCCTTGCATTCAATTCTCTCTCCACCTATATAGCACACAGACCCTCCTCATCATTTTCAGAGACCCCTCTCTGATTAGCCTCCTCTTTCCTCAATTCCTTGCCTCCTACTTTTCCAGTTCCTCTTTTTTCCACTGTGCAGCTTCTTCCAGTATCTTTGCCTCTGGCCAAGTCAGTCACCCCCGGTGTGATGTTTTCATGCCAACCAAACTAACAACTTCCTTTTCCTTCACAGAATTTGCCAAAGTTCCCTGAGCGATTGAACATTTCATGCCACTACACCAGCTCAATGAATGGCCACTAGAAGATAATTTCTCCAACTTGAAATGATAAAACAAAACCCTGACCTTTAAACTTCAGAATCTCACTGCAATCAGCAGATTAAACTGTTCTCCAAAATTCTAGTGTAATAGTATGGATACCAGCTTTAGCATATTTCCCTGTATTTACAGGATTAAACTGAGCCCACTAAATATTATGTAATTCATTGTATATTTCAGAGTTATTCCAAAATTCAGGACAGTTGTTTTTACAGGATTAAATATGCATCCTCAAATGGTACAAATGATCACGCTAGCTAGACTGAATGGTTCCCAGTTGATAATGCAGAAACAGCAGTAATTTCCCCAAAATGCTGCCCAGGAAAGGGGGCTGGCAGGGTGCTTGCCTGCACCCACCCCATCACTTTTTGAGCATACATGACCTGGGAAACCATTCTCACCTTCGTAACGCAGGCTCAGGATAAGGGGTGTGGCGGGGCCCTCACTGGTCAGTTCCACAATGAGAGACTGGGCATCGCTCAGCAGCCCCCGTTCTGGGACGTCATCCATGTCAGAGTCATAGATGATAGGAGAAAAGGTGCTGCTCCCGCTGCGGATCATCAGTCTGGGGAGGGGAACAGACGACAGTGACTGGGCCTGGTATCCCCTCAGTACAAGCAACCTGTGCCTGTATACGTTGCACAGTTCATGGGACCTCCACACGAGGTGCTCCCCACCTCCACCGCCCGTGCCTTTCCCCATCCGTGCCCTACAGCAATGATCCAGAGCCTCTTTTTCCCTGGGGCTGAATTCCATATTGGAGAAGCTTTTGGGGTGAATGAAGCCAAAAGTGGAAGGGGTCCCCTCCTCCCCAAAATATCAAAAATCCTAACACATTTTCAGTTGAAGGTCTTACTCTAAATAACAGGCTTAGGGGAGGCATTCAGTCTTTTAGGATGCACCACCACGATGAGGAAACCACCCAAGATTTGGTGGCTTGAGGAAAGTTGGTGGGGCCAGGAAGAAGGGGCCTAGTGCTCTGATGAATCCGAAAGGCTTGGACTACAACCCCTGGAGGGTCAGTTTTAACCCCTAGGCCTGGGATTATACACCCCTGCCTTACAGACTGACCACTTCCATCCACCCCCTTTTGCCTCTTCTTTCTTGACCTAGTTGCCCTAAAATTTGAGTCGACTCTTTTCTTGCCACCTTCAGCCATGCCTCCCCTGAACCACTAGGCCCATCGTCCCTCTCCTCAGCCCAGCTCTCCAGACTCCATCAGCACCACCTCCTCCTCTCTCCTCTCCGTCAGTTTAGCCCTTGGTGCCTCCTCTTTTCCTCCCACATTCTTCCTTTCCATATCCCTCACTGTTCCCGCACTTGTCGTTATCCTCATCCAGGGCCACTCTCTCAAAGTGCAGGTGCAGCCGCTGGCCTTCGGGTGCCTCCACCAACCAACGACACGTCAGGTTCCGGCCATGAGGTCCACCAGGTGCTTCAGGAGCCACAATGCGCCCACGGGTGGCATTATGAACTGTTCCTCCACAGGAAGCTAGTGAGGAGGGAAGGCTAGATATTGTTACTGTTCATTGTTGCTGTGACATTCTTAGCACCTAAAATGCTTTTCAGTCTTGCTGCTTTCATCTGCGTAACCTTATGAAAAGTTCATTCCTATCTCCATTTTCGAGAGGAGGCGTCAAGGCTTGTTCAGCACAACACAGTGAATCCGATTGATCTGCCCATGTTCACACTCATCACAAGTTCCCAGAGCTCAGAGGCACTTTGCAGAAGTTTTCTTTTTTACTTACATGTTCTGGAAAATGATTGGAAAATGGAATGACCCATACAACTTTGAATGGTTGCTCATGGGAAAATTTGCATCTGTTTACAACATTCCGAATTTGCATGAAAAATTCAGCCCTTGTCAAGGCTCTTCCAATAAGGCCAGCCAGATGGTCTTGGGAAACTCAAAAGCAATGCCTTAAAATCTAGCTCCTGTTTTCAAGAGTGGCAGACAATCAGTGATGTAGTAGAGTCAGGGTAGATAGACAGGATCAATGTACTAGGAATTTTTTATTCAGGATGAGAATGCCATCTGCCAGCTGCATTAGACTTCCCTGTTCCCCCTGAACTTAGATGCAATCCTCAAAGCAGTGGCACTCAAGCAGGGTGAATGGATTTTTTAAACGACAATAGACTGTTTTCAGCAAAGCCTTGCACACATATGTAGCACACACAACCATCAAAACCTGCATGTTTGCACTCTTCTTGGGTGCATGACTATGGAGACTGTCATCACTGGCACCTCCACTTCAAAATTCATCTCTCTGTTACTGGGTATAATGACCCTGAATATGAGGCTTCTGTTCATATAGGCAAATAGTCACTGATAAAGGAATTCTTCATGGATTTTTCAAATGTTTCTTATTTTAAGGTAATCTAGAGAGAAAGTGTGATGTAGCAGTTAAAGCACTGGATTCGAGATGTGGCTTCTAGTCCCCATCTGACCAGGAAGCTCATTGGGTGAGCAGGACACCAATTTACACCATCCCTCTCAGATGGCCATCCAGTTGCATCTCGAAGGCATCTAGTGTGGGAGAGCCCACAACCACCCTAGTCACTGGCTCCATTGTCCTACTGCTCTAACAGTCAGGACAAATTTCTTGATATCCAGCTGGAATTTGGCTTCCTGCAACTTGAGCCTGTTGTTCGGTGTCCTGCACTCTGGGCTGACTGAGAAGAGATCTTGGTCTTCCCCTTTGTGACAGCCTTTCAAGCATTTGTAGAGTACAATCATATCTCCCCTCAGTCTTCTTTTCTTGAGGCTAAACATGCCCAGTTCTTTCGATCTGCACTCATCTTCTCTCTGCATCAGTCATATTTGTTAAACTCTGAGTGTTAATATGATGAACTCTTATCGTTTTTTGTTTTTTCCCTCACCGTTAATCTGATAAACCATCATTGTGACTTTGCGGCATTAAAACAGTCCTGAGGTCATAAATTATAAGTGACAGCAGATCTCCCTGTGCAGTGCCTTGACCTATCCCCTGACTTGACTAAAGATCTCCAGTAATTTGTCCACAACCCTCGTGCCATTTTGCCGAGGCACTATCATCCTGTTTCTTTCTCCTGCCACTCACCCACGCATGCAGGGCTGGTACCACTCCAACGAGGACGGCTGACATTGAGGCAGATGAGGGTCTCCTCACCTCGTAGATGGAAGCCCGACTCACACTTAAAAGTGGCGGAGCCACCGGGGTGGAGGTCTGTAACCATGACATCCCCATTCTCAGGTCGGCTAGGGAAGCCACAGCTGAGCAGAAAAGCTAGAATTGGGGAACAGAATCCAGACAGTAAAGAGAGACAAAACAGATCTAAAGAACAGAGGTTCTAACAGATCTCAAAGCCAATAATAATTAAAACATGGAAGAATGGGTAAAATTTTTATAATTTATTTACAAATTATGTAATAACTTTCACTGAATTTGCAGTCATTCTCAAGGTCAATTATGTTAGACAACAGCTGGTCAACATTTTTTTTTTGTTACAACTTTTAAATTTTTGGCCTGTACTGTGTCAGATTTGAGATAGTCTTGAAACATTTCAACATAGAAAACCCTGGAAATTAAAAATATCATGTTTTCTGGTTATATTTCACCTTCCCTGATTTTAATCCTTTAAGGGTTTTCTGCCAAAATACTTCAAGCCTCATTTCCATAATCGTGACTGGAAATGTCTCCTTACACAACTAAAGCAAAGATTCTTGTATTTTGTGCTTCTCATGTAACAAGTGCCAACGAGTTCTGAAACAATGTTTGTGTGTGTGGCTAATTATGTATCACTATATGCAGTCCTACTTGTTTATGGAAACAGGAATTATCAGTAGATCAACCTCCAAAACATGGCTGAAACTGTCAGATAAAAGAATAACAATATAACATAAAGAACACCAGCCAAGCAGTAAGAAATGCCTGCTGCCCCATCCATTGGCTCACAAGATATATAACTCAGCCAAGGATGGACAAATGGAAGCTTTAGGTTCCATCCAAACCACTAAACCATTTTTTAAAACTGCCAGGCTAGCCAGGATTGTATATTAAAGAGATTGCGACTATCAAATTGTGAACCATTGTAGTTCCATCAGGGAAAAAGTGCAGCCACCCTATGTATGAGAATCTTCTCCTTAGGTACCTTCACAGAGAGCCCAAATATGGGCATTTTCAGCTTAGGTTCTCCATGTTGTGACCCAGAATCCTGAAGTCAGCAGTTCCTCAAACATTTAACCCCCAAGCCAAGATCATCTGCTTCTTCTGGGATGGCCACTGAGATTCCTGAAAGGTCTCGCAGAGTCTGTCTGCTTGCTTCTGTTTGCCTTGTGCTCAAATCTATCACCTTGAAACTGCTAATGAGGTTCAAGAGAGCAGTAGACCCATTCAGAGTCTGCCCTGCGCATGTATTCCTCCCATATTTTAGAGCATATACAAATAAAAAGTACCAACATTAGTGACATGCACAAATTGTGTTGGAAATGTATTCCATATAAGCATCCTCTTCAGAGCATGGTGTCATTGAATTCTACCTGCAGGAAAATGTTTTATTCTGCCAGCATTTGAGAACAAAAATCTATTATGTTTTCACTCTCATATACATTGAAGAGTTTGTGAAGGGAGTGTAAATCTTCATTGAGCTCACCATTTGATGTGCATAGCCTCAGTCACCCAGCACTTTTTTTCTCCAGACAAACTCACTTTCAGTATCAGAACTTAGTGGTTAAGAGTGCAGAACTGGGACTCAGGAGATTTGGGTTCTAGTCCCCACTCAGCCATGAAGGTAACAGGGTGACTTTGGATCAGTCACAGACCTCACAGGGTGGTTGTTGTGGGGATAAGATGGAGGAGGAGAATGATGTAAGCTGCCTTGAGCCCCTTGAGGAAAAAGGCAGGATATAAACCGAAAAATAAATACATATATACATAAATGTATATAAGATGGAGGAAGAGAATTATGTAAAATGCCTTGAGTTCCTTGAAAGGAAAAAAGGTGGGATATAAATATAATAAATATAGAAACTTGGCTAAGGAAAAATGCATGTGAATGACTGGTTTAGCACTCCTCATTCATGTGCCCCTTTTGCTCTAAAAATCAGAGTCTTTATACATGATTAGTGCAGAACAAGCAAGGTTTCTATGTCTCTGAGACAGATCTGCGGTCAGACAAACATTCTGTTCCAGAGATGCATAAAGCCCATCTGACATCCCTTCAAATATAAATGGCCATCACTACTGATAAAAGGAGTGGGAAATTGATCCTTCCTATGGTTTAAGGTATATGGGGAATGTCCCACTCCTCACCTTGGTAGTGGAATTTGAAGATTCCAGGGCTGGTGGTGTGATAGCTCTGAAAGTGAATCAACACCTGGTTGGTTGGGCTGCGGATCACTTGCCCCTCAACCATCAATGACTCATTGGCCAAGACCACCGGCTTCTCCCCTCCTAGGCCTTCCACTGTCAGTGAATCCTCCTTGGACAGGTTCAGGCTCTGCACCTGGTAGAAGATGAATGAAGTCAGGAAGGGGAAAAGAAGATGGGAGGAAAGAAGTTTAAAGTCTCTCTTGAGGACCCAAAATGAGAACAAGTTGTTTAAGAGGAAGCATCCACCTAGAGCCACTCTCATACACAAGCATGAATCGCTGAGTAAGAACTGAAAGATACAAGCAAATGTTTTTAATAAGACACGGAAGCAATTGGCAACAGGGGGCGGGTGGAGGTAACTAGTCACAGCACATGTCTGAACACAAAAGGAACATTTATGTGAAATATTAATATTTTTCTAGACAGAGCAGTGGGATTTCAGTCACAGTTAACCTCCCAAAGTCAAAAGAAAAGATTAGTTAAGCTGGTATCATCCAGGCGTTTCAGACTATAATTCCCACAAAGCTTGACTACAGTTGTTTAGGGCCTAAGGGAGTTCTTATCTGAATCATATGCAGAGCACCAGGTTGCTTATTCCTAAAGGTCTTCTCAACTTCTCCAGTACAAATAACTAGATACACTTAGTACCAAACAAGGCTAGAATTCTTATTTTTCTTTTTCTACTAATACTTCTTGTCTGGACTCTTGTAGACAATAATGAGGCGATATTGATGTGAAAGACAAAAATCAAGAGCAACAGAAAAGGACATATTTTTATGCGGTAAGCCTTGGTTTCCTCCCCACAAACTTGAAAAATGACTGACCAATATTTCCAGCTTCAGACTAATCAGTTCTATCTACATCAGTTCAGGCAGCTTACCTGTACTTCTATCCCATAGCCCATGTAAACAGAAATCGTATAGGTGCAGTCCAGACCTCCATAGAAAGTGGCACCGGCGTAATCCGGAGATTCAACATAGCCTTCCACATCAGTAATATTGTTGTTGCAAAGCACTTCAGGAGGGTGGTGGGGAGAGAGACAGAGACAATGAAAATTAAAAGCAGCTAGGCAGCACTGCCTCAAGCAAGCCCCCTCTGGAATCTCCCCACATCTCTTACCAGGGGTGTGTACCGTAGTGATGGTCGTGGTGGTGATAAGTGTGGTCGTGGTCTCCTCATCACTTTCGGGGATGAAGGCTGTGGTGGTGGCAGAGATGTGCTGGCTGGCGGGGCCTTTCTCATCCGGTGGCGGAGGGAGGCGAGGGGGAGCCGCCGCTGTGGAAGCTGGAGGGGTCGTGAGCAGGAAGCCGGTGGGGGGTGCTGCAGTGGTCAAAGGGGAGGGGCCAGTGGCTGCGGCTTCGGAGGCCTCGGGGACCACCCCGCCGTCCAGGTGTTGGACAGGAGGATGGAAAGGTGGCAAGGTCGAAGGGCTACCTCCTACGACAGGAGGGTGGTGACACAGAAAAGAAATAAAGGAGGGCCGTTAGAAAGTTAATGGAGGAACACCTCCGGGCACTTGTAGCCTCCCCCTGCAAAGCTCCTCTCCACATTTTCTTCCACAAGGGTGTTTTAGTGGCAGAAAACATGGAATTAGTTATTACCAATATTCACAACATTGACAAAGTGATTACGACAGCCCTCCCATCCCCCACAAAGAGCACCCTTCCCGTAGCCGCCACCCCATCTCGCCTCAACTATTCTCACCAAATGCACCCCCCCCTTCTTGCTCCCAATCCATCCTGCCCACTCATTCCCCCACCCCTACCCGGTCCCCCCTTTTTTCTCACCAGGGATGGGTTCCTCCAACAACTCGCCCCCCAGAAACTCCTTCCTCAGCAGTGCCCCCTGCAGCAATTCAGAGAGGCCTTCAGGACTGGGGGGCGAGGACCCCCTCACCTCAGCTGAGGCCCCCCCGTTCCTCCTCCTTGGGTCCATCCATGGCCTCTGAGGACAGGGCCTCCAGCTGTGCGGAGGGCGTGGCCGGGACCATGTCATCATTTTCCCAGAGGGGCAGGCCTGCAGGGAGCGAAAGGTTATCAGCCTCATTCCCCAAGGGCAACGCAGGGTACACACCTAATAAGCAACCAAGCAAAGGCAGATAAACTGGTCCTCTCCTCCACACCCCAGATCTCGCACTGTTCACTTGAGCTCTCCTTTCATTTGTTCCTCAACACAGGCTAAGGTAATCCTACTGGGCCTGCATCCCCTCCCAAACACGGGCCCCATCCTCTCCAGATGTTTGGGCCTACTTTTCCCCTTAACACTAGCAAGCATAGCCAATGCTGAGGGATGATGGGAACTGTACCCCAACAGCTTCTGGAGAGACCCATGTCCCCCCCGCCCCACTCCTGCAGAAAATAAACTTTCGGCAAAAAGAGGAAGAGTGGCCAGCGCCAGGTTTGCCCTGGCCAGATATAGTTCTGCGGGCTGGTCGTGCTGGAACTCTCAGTGACAGAAGAATGGCCACATCCTACTAATGGCAAAGCATCTCTGCTGCCTGGCCTTTGGCTGCAATATAAAATATGCATACAGCATTTGCCTCTTTGGGTTTGACTACCCGTTTCAGTGCTCAGTTTGCAGAGGTTGCGCCCCACTCAGTCTCTTGTGAGGAACCCTTTATTTATTATTTTTAGTAGCCTTTGGCAAAATCCAATGTGTAATCGTGAGGCTTCCAGATTGCACTGAAGCCTCGCTATTTCCTGCCTGCCCCTAATTGGAGCACTGGGGCACATGCATTCTTTTTGTCCCAGATGGATATAAAGTGCAGCCATCTGGTTGCCTAGTTACCAACATTTGAAGCAGACACCCAAGAATTGAAAAAAAAATGTTCAGACCCTTTAATTGAGTGGGGCAGCATCCTAAAAATGTGACATTGCCCCCTACAAAATGAAATATTTTGACCAGCCGTACTTCCCCCGCACCCCACCTGCTCTTGCTTTCCCAGTTGTTCATTCCAAATCAGTTTGGTACAAAAGGGCTTCCTCCCTTCTAAGTGTGCCTAAAACTGCACTCCTAATCACACTTCACAATTAGGGAGCTACAAGGGAGAAGATTGTTACTGTGTGTTCCATTCAAGAAGTTACCCAAGATATTCACACGATCATTGAAAAAGGCCCAAATCCAACCACTAAACCATTATTGGAAGGGGGAAGTGACAGCCAGTGGATTTAGTGGTTAGAGTGATGGACTTGGAATAAAGGGATCCAAGTTCTGGAGTTACTGGGTTACACTCAGTGGGTTAACATTGGGCCAGTCAGTGACTCTCATCCTAACAACAACCCTGAGAGTTTTTGTGAGGATAAGTTGGAGAGAAGGCCAGTTCCTCACAAGAGAAAAAAGATAGGATGGACCTGTAATTTATAAATAAAACATTAAAACCCTATGCCCTTCTCTTCATCCAGAACAAATTGGGTGGTTTAAGAGTGTGAAAAAGAAGCAATCCATTAAGAATTAGGTGATCTTGTGATCAAAATGGGAGATTAAAGTGCATTAAGTTGGAGTAAATTAATCTGTATGATCTCATCAGCACATTGGGTAGCTACACTTTGGTAAGAGGCAAGTGGTCCATAGTCAGTCACACGATCTTGCAGGTAAAATTTGGCAGCTAAAGTGCAGATCAGGAACCAACAAATGTGTGCTACATGGTCTTGTGAATGCTTGCCTCCCTCCTCCCATTTTACTGCAGAAGGCTGCGTCACTTAGCTTCATATTTCACACATTAAACTTGGCCCTGGTGCTGGGGAAAGAGAAAGCTGGGGCTGAGCTGGAGAGGGGCCTGTGGCTAGGATGCAGGGTGCCGAGCGAAGGGTGCTGGCAGACCTAAGCAGCAGCTTGGGCTGGGATAGCGCTGGGCAGTCTGCAGATCCTGGGCGGAAGGGCCTTGAATGATGAGCCCCGCACATCACTCTCGCTGCCTTGATGTGACAAGTTCGGCAGTGACAGCCGTGGCTGCCGCAGGCGACTGCCAGCATGTGAGATCCTGGCAGCTGCTGGCGAGCCATTAATTGCTCTGAACTCGCTCCATTAAGGAGGCCAGCTGCCTGGCAGGCCTTGTGGGCCCATCTTTTGCCACCCCACGGTAAAGTGGCAAACACCCAACAAAGAAAGGCAGGGCTTCTCTTGCCCACCCTGTCTTATAGCAGTGCCCCCCCGCCTCCATCCACTCAACCGGCCAGCTGTCAAAAAACAAACACAACTGCCTCCGGGGTGGGACAAAGCAGTGGCTAAGCTGCAGATGAGAAACGTGTCTGTGAAACACCACCGTACAGAGGTGTCACATCACACACGCAGCAACTCCTAGGTGTGCATGTAGTACAAACGTCTGCCCCCACCCTAAATGAACAGCAGTGGGTTACACTTGCTACTTTCACGTGCGATAAGAAAACACTGCTAACTGGAAATTAAGAAAATCTCCTTTCCTCACATACAAGTGGAAAGTCTCTGGCTCCCCAATATTTTGCTCCCGTATTAACAGTGACTCCCAGCCTTCGTGGAACGCTAGGCCTGCCCTCCATCTTCATCCTTCATCTTTCTGCCCCACAGCACTTCCACTTTCAACTATCTAGCTTCCTTGCTTCTGCGATTATCATGGCCTTGACCACAAAACCTCCTAATGCAATATCTGAGAATCCCAAATATATCTGACAATGTGAAGTTTCCCCCCTTAGCTGTATTTGCAAACTTGCATGAGTGCTGAATTCTTGTTTAGAAATGCTTTGCCCAAATAGATCCCTTTTACATGATTCCATATTCCCCAAATCATTCCAATCCTTTGCCACTTTACACGCTATACTCCCCCAAAGTGTACAGTAAGACATAATCACCACCACCACCACATTTCCTGTGTTTGGGCATTCCTTTGCATCTTGCAAAGAAACCATTTTTTAAAGGAAGAGCTACATATCCATTTGATTTCTATGCTGCATGGAAAACTGTATTTCCTTTTGTAATGCATGATTCCTGAATCTGTTTTCCTTTGCAGTGCTGCACGCAAGACCCTGGTTTTCTAATCTTTCCACTCCTTCTTGCATAGCTATACCCAGTAACATCTCTTTGTACCCCAATTCTTTAATCTCCATGTTGAAAAATTCAGCTCAACTCTCAAATCAAATACTAATGCTTGAGTCATATTAGCAACCTCCCTTCTATCAAGGGTCAACCCTAAATTTCTGCTTCAGTTGCAACATTCTGCGACAACCTGACACTTCTTTCTCCTTTATTAATAATCTGTTCCCTTTAAGTCTGTGTTCCTCTTTGCAATGTTGTATGGGGACACGCTAAAAATCAACACCAAAGGTAACTACCAAACCTCTCTATACCGTATTTTGTAGGTTTTTAAGAAATAGATCACCATTGCCATCTCCATTCCCCAGGAACATCCAGAATTCTCATTACTACTGACAGATACTATTCATCTGATCTCTGTATTCTACCTACCAAAAACCCTAAAAGAGCATCCCCCCCATTTTTGCAGTGAGGAACAAAACCTCCCAGCTCTGTACCAAATTTCTATCCCCTCATATCATTTACAATGAGTTCCAAGCCCGATTCTCCTTCTTGTACCCACCCTATCACATCCCCAAAACTGTTTTAACATTCATGTGTCCTGCATGCAACGAAGAAAAATAATTTCATTATTTTCTTCTTTAAAAAGGTAAACGTGGAAATATTGCTCAAAAGCCTGCAAGACGATGGTCAGAACCTGCCATTTGCACAGGGGTGGTGGTGGTGGTGCTGATTTATCTTCAATCCCCTTTTGTCACTACAAAAAATACTGTCAAACTAAAACAAACACATTCCGTTTTGATGCACCCCCCCACGAACCCCCCCTCCCTGCAAACGCTGCCTCTTACCTTGCGAAAGAGGCACGGAGCAAAGCAGCAGAAGGAACAGCATTCTGGACGCTCCTTTTTCTGTATAGCCCATTTTGGATTTCTTCAGACCTGCAGAATACCTAGTCTGGCTATTTCCTTCTCCTACCAGGCAAGGGAGCAGTGGAGCCAGGAGCCCGCTTAGCAAATGAAAATGCAGTAGATTCCCTTGCAGTAGCTATTCCTGTATTTTCTATTTTTCCTTTCAAAAGCAATCGTGTGTGTGTGCGCGCGCCTGTGCGTGCGTGCGTGCGTGCGTGCGTGAGAAATATGCACTTATCTATTTCTGTTCACTATTTTAATAACATACTTTGTAAACCCTAATATATTGTAGATATATTCTTTTACATATAATTATTTAAGAGAAGGCTGTAGGACACCTTTTCATTTAACCATCCCAGGCCTCCTTAGCAAGGGACTCCTCTCTCTTGCGGTTTTTGCCTAAAGTCTATACCTAAGCTCACTTTGACAGAACAAATGCAGGAAGTAGAGATGGGTGGATTTCTTTGCATATGAAAAGGCACTGGTTCTCTGGTTTCTTAGCAAAATAAATGGACGGGACAGTCCTGCCCTTACACAAACCAAATGCTACCTAAAGCAAGTTACCTACATATCCCTACCTGAAGCCACCTATTAATTCCTCTCATTTCAGGGACTTTACATTTATTGCAAACAGCATGGAGTTCCCCCTCCCTTCCTCAGCCTTGCTAAAGCAATTCAATATCTGTTACCGCTCCCTCCCCCATGGATACAATGAGTAGTCCTTAAAAAAAAAAAAAGTAAAATCTTGGATACCTATTGGTTTGTTTAGCAAACCAAACAGGACTGGCGTGCACTGGCTTGAGCTCCCTCTCTCTCTCTCCCTCTGTCCTTGACAATGAAACGCCAACCGATGGCAGTCTTTGCATTTGCAAACCATACGCAGCTGGTAGCTACAGATTATTCTGGGTCCTACAGCAGACTTTTGCAGAATGTACAATATGGATTCCCCACCCCCACTTGAGCAGATGCCTATATGTATATGGTTTGTAAATGCAATATAGAAAAAAAATAGCTACTGGAACCTTTGAAAAACCCTTGAAGATAGTACGAGCTTTCATGCAGAACAGAGACCTTATCTAAACATGCAAACATCTGATCTAAAAAATAACAACTACAGATAAGCAGTGCTCTATTTTGAAATGAGAGAAATTGTGCAAGGCCTGTTCTCTGACAGGAAGAAGAGAAGCAATGGCAAAATGATAGTTTTCCGATTTGGAACCCCAGTGGAATAAAATTCAGGGAGAAAACATTGAAAAGGAATTAGCCATTGTATCTTGTTTCATAAATGTATGCTAACTGTGGATGATATTTAGGATAACCCCATTTAAAGATATAGATGGAAAGGTGCTCAAAACATAGCAGGGCACTATCTAGGACAGTCCATGTTTGCTAAGGACATGTGGGAAGCAACCCTTCCATAGTTATTTTTGCAAATTCAGGATAATCGTCCAGGCCATTGTTCCACATAGCTTTTAGCATATTCATATGCAGCTAATATATGCTAACTTCTTTACCCTCCCAGTTCATGATGGGCTTTTGCAAGTGACAAGCCCCAGACTTCCTGCAAAAGTTGCTCAGTGTCCCCCACACCCCCTCCACTCCTTATCATACCAGCTGCCCAAAATGCAATGACTGCCAAGCCCCACCAGCTCCACTCCATACACAACGGTTAGTGATTGTAAGAGTTCAAGTCCAACACATGTGGAAAGCAGCTTCGGGTACCTATTCAAAAGGCCAGTATGTATCTGTTCTCCAATGACCAGTGTATTTGTCTTCTTTTTGCAAAAGTCCCGATTTCTTTGTGAACACCGATGGATAGGATACAATTCCAACTCCCTCCTTTAGGAAGCTGCAGCCTTTCTTTCCACAAATAAATGGCCACTTTTTGCTACATTCTGCACACGTTTCAGTCCCCCCACAATTAAAATGATCCCTTTCCCTTGTCATGGCTCTTCCACCCAAAAGCAAAACAAAAAAGGACTCATCATAAGAGGTTGCTCAAGCTAGTTAGAGAGTCAAGATAAAAAGTACAACCAGTTGCTGAAAGGAAAAGGGGAGAGAGTGTTCAGGGGTTGTGGGTGAATGTTGGGCCCAGTGACTTAGGATGGGAGTGTATATTGGGGGAGCAGCAAAAAAAAAGGTAACTGCTTCTCAACATCATCTTTCCTCACAATGGTTGCTATGGGAGTTGCTATCAGTGGGTGGTTGCTATGGGAGGTGCTATGGTTGCCAGGCAGTTGCTATGATGGGTACCAGGGGCTGGAAAGGTAGTTACTAAGTGCAGTTCCAGTGAAGTGGCTATCACCAGGGATGTTTTGTATGCAATTCAGGGATTCTTTGAAAACTATCTTGCCCACCACTGGCAACTTCTAATATGCCACCTGGAGGCAGGGAACGTTGGGTATTTCTTCACTTTATGTATATATAACTAGACTGGACTTGGCTTTTCACTTTAGATGCCTAATATTCCTTGAGATCATCAATGCCCTTGGCACAAATGCAGGTCCCTGCCCTCAAGGACTTATCAAACAACATGGGGAAGGGAAAGTGAGAGAGGGATAAACAGAAAAGCCAAGTTTATTTGTGTGTGGTATTTCTATGACTGGAGAGTTTCTTTGTGTAGGGATACTTGCCATGAGACTTGGGTTGAAAGAAGTGATTCCATTGCTACTATGGCCTCCAAGATGGTGCTTCTGGCTCATGGTTCTGGAGCAACCAAGTTGGCCAAAATAAACATGCATCAGGAAGGGACTGTGAGGGCAGAGGGCCAGCACACTGAACCAGGCAGCTTTGAAAAAGAGCAGCTGGTCAATACAAGAACTTTGAAACCAAGATTGTGTGCCTGAGTTTTACTCCCCCCCCCCCTTTCCAATCCTCTCTTTTTGTGTGGTCCTGTTTGCATTGTAAATCCAAGAGTAAGGACTGCCTTATTATTATTGTTTGTAAGCCGCTTAGGAAACCTTTTGGCTAATGAGTGGAATAAAATGCATAAATTATTTTTAAAAAACCAGAATAACTCTCATGGCGGCTCCCTATTCGTGTGGGTGCAACAATGAGGCCCAAGAGGCACGTGATGTGTGGATCTGTTCTAGAAAACTCCTTGCACCCCTAATCCACTGCAATCGGTAGGAGTTCCTTGGCAAACCACCCTGAGCATACGAGGTTGCCTTATCCCAAGCCTGTCCATTAGTCCATGGGACTCTGCAATGTCTGTGCTGACTGGTAGAAGCCATCTGGAGGACCCTGACAGAAATTCATTTCATCCACTGGCCAATTTTTCAAAGGATATTTAAAAACATTTCTGTGGTGGGGCTTTTTATGAGCTACGAGCTGAAGCTTTTGTTCAAATATGGATTATGAAGTTGATTGTGGAAGGATGTACCAAATATATTGATAATAAAGGATCTGTTTGGGAAGGAGATGAGAGAAGAGATATTTGCTAGCAGATACTCAAGATCAACCTTCATCAACCTGGTAGATATGTATGGTAAAAGAAAGAAGCAAAAGTTCTGGGGGTAGGAAGAGGATTATTTCTAGAGTTGGTGGTTTATGTGATTAGCCTGGCAGTGGTTGCCATGGGAATTGCTAGGAACACAGCTACATACTCAAGGGTTGAGCAAGGTGGTTGCTGGGTGGGGTGGGGGGAGAGATTTAACCCTGTAGATGATGAACAAAATGAGTTGGGATGCTTCCCTGGTGAGTGGAGAAGGGGGCTAAAAAGAACTGTGAAAATGCTAGTTGGGGTTGGAAACATAAGTTTCAAGGTGACTGCCTGGGGAGGAGAGCTGATGCTAGATGTAAGGTTGCTAGGTGAGTTGCTAAGGAAGGCGGTTGCTAGGAGGCAGGGCCTGAGCCTCCTAGTCTGGTCGAAGAGGTGGAGCTGTTGGTTGAGTCCATGCTGCAACTAGGGAGCTCGTGGAAGGACGGCCGCAGACAGCACTGCTGCTTTGCTTAAGCACTTTCGCTGGCTACATTCTGCAGTTCATGGCCACACCGCTGAAATGAAAGGCAAGCAGAAGGGTGAGATCCCTCGCTTGGTCCTTCGCTGACGAGATCCGTCCTTTAACGCTGTAATTATGCACTCATTTCACGTGGGGGGGGGGAGCACAGCTGTTTATACTGAAGTGAATTGCCCGGTGTTGATATGCAGCAACCACCTCAGGCATGTGCGTCCGTGCGTGCGTGTGTGTGTGCGGGCACAAAGGGGTGGCTCTTTATGCAGCTCAGTCTTGCCTGGCGCTGATACGAGAGAAGGGAGACAGACGTCAAAGGGAGGAGTGAATCCAGCGGTGGGTGGGTGGAAACACACTTGCAGTGGGGTGGGGGCACCCTAATCTTTTCCGGATGTCTCCAGCAGCAGCAGCAGCAGCGTACGTGCCTGAAAAGGAATTAGACACACATCAATAAGGAGTTGAGCAGGAACCAAACTGAGATAGAGAGGCAATCCGCAGAGAATGGACAGCAAACCGCAACATACCAGAAGATGAAATGACTGTTAAAATGGACAACAGAACAGGTTAGAGGGGTAGTGAGAGGGGCAGAAAGAATAAAACTCTGTAGAAGAAGGCATTTTTCTGGGTTATAGAAAATTGGGGAAACAACACAAGTAGAGAGGAAGGAGGGAACAAGAAAAACACACACACGCAGATGGAAGCGGAAGAGTGGAGGCACCACTGAGGGCAGACTGACAAAGATAAAATGGGGAAGAAATTCAGCCACCAGGAATGCGGCGACGGGGCAGAGCGCGCACTCGGGATGCGTGGCTGAGTCCGCGGGGCTCGAAACCGGCTGCTCCCCTCCAGAAGAAGTCATGTGCGAAGGGGTGACTCGCGCGGACCCAGGCAGCAGCGGCCAAGCCCGGGCACGGCGGCGCTCCCCGGGCGCCCCGGCACGGCGGACTCGACGGAGCAGCAGCGGCGCGCCCAGGATGCCCTGAGGGCGGCCGCCCGAAGATGCCCAGCCGCAGCAGCCGCAGCAGCCGCAGCAGCAGCGCCATGGCCGACTGGGGTCTCCACGGGCTCCTCTCGCCGCTGCTGCCGGACGCCTCGTCCTGGCGGCCGCGGCCGGAGCCCGCCCTCGCCCTGCTGGGCTCGCTGGCCCTGCTCTTCGTCTGGTACTGCTACCGCGTGGGCAGCGGGCAGGCGGCCGCCCCGTCGCAGCACCACCCCCCGCGCCCGCCGGGGGCCCTGCCG